AAACCATCGGAGGTGTTGATGGAAGTCTAAAATATTGTATAAGATGAGAAGATATGTTGTATGACTGTTGGAGCTGATATGTTAAAAAATCAATAAAAATGTATATATATATATATAAAAAGAACGGACCTCCAGAACAAATTAAGTTCTTAATCTGAGGTACCACTGTAAGTTAAAAAAAGTTTTTTTAAAAAATAATACCCAAGATGACCCAAGAAGGATCTATCAGGTTCCAGGATTGAAGGCAGAGAGATAAGGAGATATTGGAGTAACTCATACCAAAGAGAGGAGCTGGGAGTTTTCGCCTGTCCCTTTTGTTTGGAGGAATGCGCAATGCTGAACCATCACAGCAGTGCTAAAATTCTCTGATTTCCACCTTGGAAGTGATGCAAAACACTGCAAAAAAACAACAACAAAAAAACAACAAAACAAAACAAAACACACACACACACACACACACACCTGCAAGACTTTGGCACCAGTCTGGAGAGGGATCCCAAATGTTGGGGTTCACAGTTAATTTTCCTGTCTAAAAGGTTGTGATCTGGCAGACTGCGTGAGTCTCTCAATTCAGCCTATGGCTTGATCCCTGGAATGCAAGGGTGAAAGCTGAATGGAAAAATGGGGAGAAACAGAAAGCAGGAGAAGAGAGGAAGACTGCCTGCTCAAGCATGAGGGTGTCTTATAAGGACAAGATTAGGGCTGGGGAAAATGCTTGACGCTAAAAACCTTGCCTTTCTGTGCTACGCAGGGATGTTTCAGGAGGCTCTTAGTGGGAACACATCTTCATTTCAGGAGATTAAAATCAAGCCACACTATGCATTAAACTTTTAAAAGTAGTTGCAGAGTGTTTGATAAAAGAGAGACATAAAAGAGCTGTGTGGGGGCACAGCCCATTGATGGCCTCCTCTTAGCAAATTAATTCTCTGCTCTGCATAGTGGGGGTTAAGTGCCATGTAAATCATAATCCTCTATGTTCAAGGTGGACAGGCAGCATACTTCAGCATACTGCCTTGGCTTTCTCCATCAGTCATGAAGTCTTATTCTATTGACATTTCTGGAAACTCCTTTCTTGTGTCATCCTCAGATCGCAGCGATCTGCCATTTGTAGTTCCATTTAAAAAACCAAAAAACCCCCAAACATCTCCAAACCTTTCCCATTGCTGTTTCTGAATTGTGATTCCTGATTTCTCTGAATCATATAGATGTTGTTGTTGTTGTTTAGTCGTTTAGTCGTGTCCGACTCTTCGTGACCCCATGGACCAGAGCACGCCAGGCACCCCTGTCTTCCACTGCCTCCCGCATTTTGGTCAAACTCATGTTCGTAGCTTCGAGAACACTGTCCAGCCATCTCGTCCTCTGTCGTCCCCTTCTCCTTGTGCCCTCCATCTTTCCCAACATCAGGGTCTTTTCCAGGGAGTCTTCTCTTCTCATGAGGTGCCAAAGTATTGGAGCCTCAGCTTCAGGATCTGTCCTTCCAGTGTGCACTCAGGGCTGATTTCCTTAAGAATGGAGAGGTTTGATCTTCCTGCAGTCCATGGGACTCTCAAGAGTCTCCTCCAGCACCATAATTCAAAAGCATCAATTCTTCGGCGGACCTTTGTTGGCAAGGTGATGTCTCTGCTTTTTAAGATGCTGTCTAGGTTTGTCATTGCAATCATATAGATAGCCAGAGGAAAAAAGTGTCAGCCATATGCTGATGACATGCAGTTCTACTTCTCTGTAACACCAGAGTTGGGAGAGGCCGGGCATGATCCAGACTGTTGTCTGGGCACAGCGGTGGGGTGGATAAGGACAAGTATCTTGGGAAGACAGACATTTTGAGTTGGCGGTGTGGGATATTTGCAATGCATGTTTGCTGGATAGGCACATGATAGGAGCTGTAGCTCACAGAGTTTTCCTGTAAGTTTGCTAGAGAGGACTCTGAGAGCCACTCCTACATAGTCATATATATTCCCCTTACCTTTGCCTCTCTTCCCTCTTACATCTTCATCTCATCACCAAGCCAGAAATGTGAGAACAACTAAGTCAGAGTTACAGCTCAGGCTCTTATCTTAAGCATGTCTTTGTAACTGAATTACCATTTTAAGCCTGTCTGAACAAAGCTGCTGTAACTGTTATTTTACAACTTTGAGCAAGTAAATGGTTTTCGGGTGTGTGTTTTTTTACCTTTTACAAGATTGTTTGTGCGATCATTGCTTTAAGGAGAAAAAAAGGGGGGATTTGCCATTGAGAATCCCGTCTGCCTTAAAGCACCCTGGATTACATAAACTAAAAGGCAAAAACTAGCCTATTTAAGCAGCCAAGCCTACAGCACCTGAAAAATGTGCATTGAAGAAGAAGAGTTTGGATTTGATACCCCGCTTTATCACTACCCGAAGGAGCCTCGAAGTGGCTAAGATTCTCCTTTCCCTTCCTCCCCCACAACAAACACTCTGTGAGGTGAGTGAGGCTGAGAGACTGCAGAGAAGTGTGACTGGCCCAAGGTCACCCAGCAGCTGCAGGTGAAGGAGCGGAGACGCGAACCCGGTTCCCCAGATTACGAGTTCAGCGCTCTTAACTACTACACCACACTGGCCCTTATGAAACACATAAATACTAAAAGTGACCGCTGGTGCTCATATCTAGGGATGATGGGAGCTGTAGTCCAACAACATTTGGTGACCCAAGTTTGAGAAAATCTGTATAGGCTCACCCAAGATTTCCTGGACTCTGACTTTTACTTTTTCATTTTGTTTGTTGCTTTGCTTTATTCGTGTTTTCTTTGTATCAGTTTTTTAGGAAATGTCATTGAATGTTGCACATGTATTGTTTTAAGCTACAACTATCTGATGTTTAGAAGACACCTGAAGGCAGCACTGTTTAGGGAATTTTTTTAATGACTGATGTTTTAATGTATTGTTAATCCTTTGTTGGAAGCCGCCCAGAGTGACTGGGGAAACCCAACCAGATGGGTGGAGTATAAATAAATTATTATTATTATTATTATTATTATTATTATTCAACCCATTTAGAGAGTTTTTTAAAAAATATAAAATGGTATAATTTTCAATTAATAAATTCACAACTCAGGGTGTCTAGTTCAGAGCACAAACGCAAAGATCTGGGAAGATTCGTAGGAACCGTAACATAATCCTTTCAGCAGCTTTGAGATAGGCTTCCGTTTTTTATCTGTATGTGTCTGTGTCTATTTCTATTTTAAAAAAACCTCAACAATGCCCACCCTCCTGCCCCATGTTGCCTCACACTTTATCTAGGATTTCTTTATTAACCCTCTTTAAGTTTTCAGGCTGACACCTGTGCTATTGTATGGCTTATAAAATTTTAAAGCTGATAGTATAACAATCTCAAATAATAACACTGTGGATGTTCACAGGCAACCGGGGAGATATAACTTGGAAAGTCACAGGAGGAAGAAAGAGTTCCTGTGTGTGTGTCTTCTGGTCTGAAACATGCTTGTTATTTTGCAGTTCTGGAAAGCGAAGCTGTGTTGCATCTGAGGATCTTTCTGACTAATTAGTTTCTGGCACCCAAAATGGCACATTTGCAACTCATTTGTTAAGCGCAGCCCACACACCTTTCCTTTATCTCAGAGACGGCATCTTCCCATATGAACTAGCCCGGCCTCTGTGAATGGCCTTGTAGGCCCTGCTCTCTGTTCTGTCCAGCCATTAAATGAGGTAGGAAGCTACAAGAGACAGAGCTTTCTTGGTGGCGATGCCAAGACCTTGGAAAGTCCTGCTCCAGAGCCACTGGACTCCATCTCCAGATAGTCAACAAGTCTTTCTTTTACTGCAGTTAGCTTTTGAAGTATGGTATGACTAATTATTTTTAACCGGTGAGCTAGAGCAGTATTCGGTGCTTTTGCATAAGTGTTATACAGTGGTACCTCGGGTTAAGAACTTAATTCGTTCTGGAGGTCCGTTCTTAACCTGAGACTGTTCTTAACCTGAGGTATCACTTTAGCTAATGGGGCTTCCCGCTATCGCCGCACGATTTCTGTTCTCATCCTGAAGCAAAGTTCTCAACCCGAGGTACTATTTCTGGGTTAGCAGAGTCTGTAACCTGAAGCGTCTGTAACCTGAAGTGTCTGTAACCCGAGGTACCACTGTATGGGGCTGCCATATTTCAATAAGTGAAGAAAGGTGGGGGAACTCGCCACAAAGTTTGTTTCTTTTATTGCAGGCCCAGTCGCAATGTTACCACCTCCTCCCAGGCAGTGGCTGAATGTAGAATGAGATTAATAAACTCAAGCAGGCAATGTTCTGGGTTAGAAATGGCCACAACTTTATTGATTACAGATATAGGTGGACTTTTGGCTCCGGCATTGGGTATATAGCTGTTCCAGCTGCCCCAGAGGGGAAAAAACCAGATAATTAATTTTAAAAAGGTAAGGGAATTTGGTTCCTCCCAGTTCCTGCTCAAAACACCCCCTGGTGTTATAGGCTGAGCAACTGAATGCAAAGAACACCACACCTGTACAGTGGTACCTCGGGTTAAGAACTTAATTCATTCTGGAGGTCCGTTCTTAACCTGAAAACTGTTCTTAACCTGAGGTACCACTTTAGCTAATGGGGCCTCCCGCTGCTGCTGCGTCACCGCCGCTCGATTTCTGTTCTCATCCTGAAGCAATGTTTTTAACCTGAGGTACTATTTCTGGGTTAGCGGAGTCTATAACCTGAAGCATCTGTAACCTGAGGTACCACTGTATTACTGAAAGGTTCAGCTTTGCTCGCTTCCGCTTTGGCCAAAACTCCCTCCTATCGTAAGAGGTACAGGAACTTTGTGTTTCTTTGTCCTAATCATAGTTCCTGCTGGATGTATTTGCCCTGAAGGTCATTTACCCATATGGATGCCATGCACATAGTGGGAAGAGAAAAAGCTTGCGCCAAGGAGTGTGGTCATTTGCATGTGTTGTGCCAATTGGCTGCTTTGGAGAAGTCCCACCTACATTCCCACCAAAGAGATGGAGCCGTGCGATTGACTTGACTGCTGTGTTAGCAAAGGGCTGTAGCTCAGTGGCCCAGCATCTGCCTTGCATGCGGAAGGTTCCCGGTTCAAACCCTGGCCTCTCCAGATAAACCTGGGAGAGAACCCTGGAGATCAACTGCCCGTCAGTGACAATACTGAGCAAGAGGGGACCAGTGGTCTGGCTCAGTATAAGGGAACTTCCTATGGGATCAGGGACTTGGACCTCATACTCATAAAGAGATTGCCTTTTCCGATATATCTCTGCATGTTCTTCTGATCATGTGTTTCATGATGCTTCGAGATGCACAGAGAAGCAACCTGAGTGGCTGATTCCAGGGGTGCCAACTTGAACAAAATATTGGGTCGGGGGAGGTAAGCACCGCCCCGCATAGTTGATCCCATGAGGCAGTGCACACCCACCCTTTGAATGGCAACGCCCATCAACCTTTTGAGGGGAGCATCCCCCTCAGATATTTTATTGAGGGACAAAGACCCCCCCCCCAGGCCCTAGGAGTTGGCTCCTATGGCTGCTTCACCTTAAAGAACTTGTTAAAGGCGGTTTTATCAAATGTTGTTCGCATTTTCATTGTATTTTTTTTAGTGTAAACTGCTTAAGGATTTGAATTTTATTAGTGCCTGTCCACTGTGGCAAATTACATAACATGCAATTTACTTAATGAATTACGCAAATTACATAGGTATTACATTTGAGTTTCTGTGGCAGAAAAAGCAACAAATAAGCTTTAACATTATTATTATTATTATTTCTGGATTTCTGCTGGACATGGGATAAATAAGCCATTTCCACGTCTGTTTCTGTTGAAATTCTCTGACTTCCCTGCTCTGCATGGGACATTTTATTTCAGGTTCCACTTGTGAAACGTCCAAATCAATTTATGGGGGGGGGGGGGGCAACTGCGAGGCTAAGGAGACCGGCCCATTTGATTCCAAAAACGTGGCAGCTTACAGGTTCCGAATATGAAAATAAGCAAGGAAACAGAAACTTTTACAGACTTTTACAAGAAAAAAAGACTCCCAAGCACTCCGCCAAATGTAATTGTCCTCCAACACAAGCCAGATCCTGTCAGCATATTGAGGAAAGCCATGGGGTGGTGGGGTGGGTGAGATTCTGTTTCATTTGGTGATGTACAAATGTTAAAAAAATAATTCTTTATGTTTTAATTGCAGTAGGAGCGGGAAATTTATCTGGGGACCACAGCCCAAAAAGAAAAACCCACGGTACAGAGAGAGAAGCACAGCCGTAAAATCGGGCGTGTATGTTTGCCAAGCTCTGCTTGCTTTTCTCTTAGGGATTCTATAGCTTCTCTTCATTCTTCACTTCTCTCATATTACAGAAAGAAGGTAATTTTTCCTGGCCATTTACTAAAGCTCATTAAAGACCGGAGAGAACAAACAATGCTACTCCTCAGAGGCTACCATTCAAAGTCACACTGCAATTCTCTCTTCTAATACTTGAGACATATTAATTATTCCTTAGTGAAAAGTGTATAATTCCTATTCTTCATTTTGCTGGGCGGGGGTGGGCTGGGGACAAATAATAGGAAGTTTCCATCTGAGTGAAAAGCTGTCTGAGCTGAAGGGAAATGAGGAGGGGAAAGTGTGTTGTTCTAAGACGAGTAAAAGCAATTATTCTAATAATAATTCGAGGGATATTAATGTCTTTCTAAAGTGGGTTGCTTTCAAGTAAACACTTAGGTTGAGAGAAGCTGTTTTATTTATTAATCATTCCAAAAAGTTCGCTCTTTTAAATGATCAGCTTCGTTGACACATAATGGATTTAGTTAAGTGGCAACTGGAAAACGTCGAAAAACTTTTGTAACCAGAGACTAATTTGTTTAATGCATTGAAAATGTTGTGCAGACATGAAACTACATATTAAACTTCAAAGGGAAATGCTCCAGAGACTAAATCATTTTAAAAGCAGGAGCAGTGGCATTAGCAGTTATGCATTACATATAACAGATTTTAAAATTCACCTACCTATCTATTTTTTGGTGGGAGGGAGGATGAAACTTAGGTGTTTGCTGACCTGCTTTCCTTCATCTCAGGACTGTGGTGCAGTGCCTGCGTTTAATGTCTGAACCAAAAATTTGAAAGGGGAAATATTTTCTTTTGTATCTCTATTAATTAGTCCTGTCTCCATTTGCCCAGCATATACAGTGCTGTTGACATCACCTTTTCCGTATCCTTTAAAGAGTCCCAGGAGAAATCTATTGCAGAACAAAAAACGAAAAGTTGGGTGTGTGGGGGAGAGAGAATACATTTGGAAACCATTTTATCCCTCAATTACCAACCAAAACGTATGGAAAAGATTTACGCTCTATCTGATTTACACCATAATTATACTTTGAAAGCTTGGAAATAAGTGGCATGATCCTCAGAATCATTAGTTACTATACCCAATGTAATTGGTGTAAACTAATGAGTTTACTGGATGGCTGACCCTTAATTACTGATTAAAGTTAAAGCAGAACTCGAACCAATCCAAAGCTAGTTTGCTTTCAAAAGCTCAGAACTCTTTCTTATTTTTTATTTTAAAAGAACACATTTCTAAAGTAAGCTGCTTTATGATTAGCTGAGGCACATGGCACAAGCCTTTTTAAAGCAATCACATGCAACTTCTTAACAACGGTACAGCAAGCTACTTTTACTCTCATTAATTAAGGTCCATCTGACAAACGTGGAATAAACTAAGGTCATGATCTAGGACCTTTTAAACTTGAGGGAGGGGAGAGAGAGTTGTTTTTGTTTGTTACTATGCTATGCATTTTTGTGCCTTTATATTTTAAGCTGCCCTGCGACGCTTGGAGGAAGAACGGTATAGAAATTTAGTTGATGATGATTGTGCCCTTTAATGCCCTTTCCTAGAATACTCCATTCCATCCCCTCTTCCCCTTAGATTTCCTCACAACAAATATTCTGTACCCGCGGAGCACACTCAGTTCTTACTGAGTGTAAGATTCCCTAAGATTTCCCCCTCCCCAAAATCCCCTCTACTTCCGCAGAACTTGGGGCTCCCTTGATCATGCTGTTACTTGCCTCTTGTGTCTCAGCCACCTGTTTAGGCTGCTTCCCTATTGGTACTCACAAGATGTGTTCACTATTGGGAGGAGTGATAAGAGAAAGCACAGAATCCTTCGACCAGGGACTATTTATCTGCAACGGTTTCATAGCAGATCCAGCGTGCATTTTTATCATATAACGATCCACTAATTTCTAGGCTGCTTGGCTCTGAACCAGGGCGTCACGCGAACCAGGTTTGAGCCCTGCAACCTGCCTCCATTATGGTGGGACTTGGCCTAGGAACATAAATGGGAGATTAATATATACTCATCCCCCAGCTAAAAGAGATAAATCTGTTCCTGGTAGCAGGTGGCCTTTTGTGGAAACTTTCTAAGCCAGATGACAGAGCACATGATGATCGGGTGCTATACTTTGCAGCAGCCTGACACTATCCTAAGCTACCTCCACATGACAGCATCAGTCCATTTTGATGCATTGCTAAGTTTCGTAATTGTGGACTAGCCACTGAAAATCCAATTTTGCACATGCCATTAAAAGTGTACTCTTCAGTGTGTCTTAGGTATGTACTTTGGGCCTAACCCTTTGGAAGCCTGGTCCTTTGATTCCTCACCAGCCGGCTTTCCTCTTGAGTCTCTAGTGCTGGCTTCATCTGCAGAAATCATCGGGCAATGCTTTTCTTGGCTTCTTAACCTGCCTCTTCCCAGTTTGCCCTGCTTCTCCTCTCCCCACTGCCACCAGCACTCCCACTGCCCAGGAGAAGCCCCCTGACTCCCAGGAAGTTTTTGGGGGGTACAGCACTCTGCACTGGAGAGGAAGGGATGAGGAAATTCCCTTTGCACAATTGTCCCTTCACTCTGGATGCAACCCAGTCTTTTTCAACGAACCCCCCGCTCCAAATAAGCAAACCTAGGATTCCATCCTCAGGGTTTTATCAGCCGAAAACACAACGTTAAGTTGTTTCTGGAGATGTCCAACTGGAATGTGGCAAGTATGGTGGATATAGAGTTTCTCCTCTTTTACTTACGAGTTTATAAACTTCTAATCGGAGGCTACCTAGAAACCAGAAACATCAGGCCTTCCTTTCTTAACAGAAATACTATTATGGTGAATAAAATATACAGGCCATGCTTAAATGGATTAGCTGCTTTCTGATTGGATGAACCACAACATAAATCTCTTTCCTTCAGCCAAGCAGAGTGCAGCTATTCAGTAACGGTAAGATGAGCAACTGTCACTTTGCTGCACCAACATACATCAAGGCAAAAATAATTCCATTTTCATCAGTCATGTAGTAAAATAGAAATATGCAAAGCAATTGCAAGAGAATCTCAGGATCCAGGATACTGACTCTGAAAATAAATCTCCTGGCTTTGTCTTCGTGTTGACTTTCTATAAATACCACAACTTTGCCACGATATCTATTTAACGGCAGGAAGCCATTATCCGATGGCGTTCTTTTCCATTAAGAGTAGCTTTTAATTGCCAGATTGTCACAAGACTTAGCAATCGCAAAGTGGCAAGTGTGTGCAGTCTGCTGCAGTTAGGTCTCATTCAAGCATTATTCCCTTCCTGGGTCATTGCATGGTACAATTTCCATTGGATAGGCTTGCACAACAATTTGACTGGTGTGCCTCTTTTTGCAGTCCCAGGCAGGCAGCAGAAGAGTTATTGAATCACTGGTGACCTATTGTCACATGCATTAACTTATCTTAATTTTAGAAGCTCTAAATTGGTGATGACATAATTTAAGACGCCTTTAATGGAAATTGGCTGGATTTCTTAAATTTGGCCAGCTTAATTAGACCAGCCCCATCTTTTCTTAAGCCTCAACCCTTCCCCCTACCACTCTTAGCAAATCTCCAGATGTTATATGAGTAAGTTCAGTTTCCTGTGTAGGAAGCCTATCTTACACAAGGGTCGTGGGTAGAATGTGGGTTCACGGCCATGGAGAAAATATGAAGTCATTCTCCCTACATTTGCATGGGATTGGAAAACCTCATTTGCCTAGTTGTCTGTGATTAGCTGGTTTGTCTGTCCTTTCTCTCTTAGGCTACATGGCTCTTCCTGACAACTGTAACCAAATGTTTTCAAAACCAGAGAATAGACATGGGAGATTCAAGTAGGAGTTTCTTGGTGGTTAAGGAGAGAGATTCAAGCTGGAACTTTCTTTCAATGGGGTAATCATCCTGCTTCTTGATTCTGAGGCAACTTGGGTCTGCCTTCATTTTGAACCAAACAATATTTGGATATCGGGCAAGACTGCACACATGCCATTAATTAAAAGCACATAATCCTGGGAACTGTAGTTTAGGGGGTGCTGATAATTTAACTTTGTGAGATGCAAACTAAAGTCTCCCAGGATTCTTTGAGGGGAAATGTGCTTTAAATGTACTTTCAGTCTATGATTTTGCATGCTGGCCATCTGGGATCATTGGTTGGTTGGCATCTTGGGACACAGTGGAAGAGTTTGTGCCTTTGGAGGTGAAGTCAAACCATTGGAGACTTACAGCGCCTGCTGTGGCTGTAGAGACTGATACAGGAGAGACATGTTTTCTTTCAGTTGGAACAGATGAAGGCATCTGGTTGTGCTGCTGAAGATGCACCATGGTGTTTTCCTCCCAGTGGTAATTCCTCCTCCAGTCGCTGCTGTAGATACACAACCTGACTGTCTGCAGTCATTCTCAGATAATAACCCGCCACACTTTTGTCTTGGCATGGAGACAAGGCAGGTTGAATGGACTCCCGTCACTCCTTGAACACCCCTTTGTCAGTTGAGTTGAAGGCATATGGAAGCAACAGAGAGAAGAAGATAGGATAATATGTCAAAGAGAGCTGGGGCGAGAACGCAGCTCTGGAATCATAGAATTGTAGAGCTGGTATAAAGGTCTATTTCTACAGAAGAAACTTATGCTTTTTGCTAGTTTCACAATACTGCTTCCCTTTCACTTTTAGATGCCATGAAAACTCTGGTTTCCTTTAGAATAGTTTCCCCCCTGATTTGAAAGCACCATCATCTGCCCTGGATTTGTCCCTCTCATAATTTTTTGGATCCATTTCTCCAGACTGATCTCAGTATAAATACTGGAATTCTTTGAGATAATTTATTCTGGGATTCTAGCTGCTTCAAAGAGATCAGATGGTGTTAGAAAACTCTGGATTTTTCTTTTTTAATTTTTATATAAGTTCTCAACTTTAAAAGTCTAGTTTGCAGAGCATTGATTAAGGAAAAAATCAGCATGCCTCAACACCTCAGATTACGCAACCATCTTTCTGCTTGATTTAAGGAGGGTCACTTAGGTTATGACGTATTTTCAGATTCCAATTAGAGACTCCTCTAATGAAATGGAGGGGGGCGGCGGGGGGGGAGGAACATAACATGCAAAAATGAAAAAATAGTTTTAGAAGTGACACATCTTGTGGAGCTGATTCATATTAAAATGTTGTTGAAACAGTGTGTGCCACCCGTAAGTCTTCGTGTAGCTCAAGCAGGAAGTCAATATGCAACTTGGGAACATAGGGAGTTGCCTTATTGACAGGAGAAAGCCAGCAGTAAATCTTACAGAGCAAGTTGGACTTAACTATTAGCACAAACAGGATCTGAACAGGAGTGTCAAGTCTAAGGAGGCAGCAACTCGTCTCCAACTGGTTTTGCCTCCATGAAGCAGAGATTGAAGGTCCCGGCCTCCCCACAGCTGACTAAATCCCCTCCGCTCCAGGGTTTTCCCTAAGCAATCTGGAAGCAGCTAACTTCTCCCCTGCTCTTTTCATGCCTCTCCTGGTTCTAGGAGACCAGAGGGGAGGGGAGTTTGTCACAGCAGGAGGGAGAGACTCCAGCACCTCTTCACCAGCCAGACTCATCTTTGTCTCTTGGCCTCCCTCCTTTCCTGCTTCAGCTGTTGAGAATTTCTATTCCACCTTAAGGAGCAGACATGGAATTCATACGTGTCACATGTCTGTTTACATTCCAGCACAGTATGCTGGGAACTTCCGTTGTGTGTATGGCTTTTCCTTTTCCCTGTCTCTCTGAGAAGACAAAAAGAGGGACGACATGTTTCTTTGTCCTGATTTATGATTAATAAATCCGTAGTTGTAGTATGCTTCCACAAGCCTCATGCCTATTCTGTGTGTGCAGTTCGCTCTGCTGACATAGTGTGCCCTGGCTTTGAAGCCTGGGTCGCTGATTTACATCAGAGCAGAGGGCGATGGGTCTTCGCAGTGGGACGGCTGGAAGGAGACGACCCAGCTGGGGCTAGCCAGCTGGCCTTGCAACCCTCTGCATGCCGACATCAGCTTCTGCCTCTGATTCTGGACTCTCTCTGCCATATACTCCCTTCGCTCACTAATCCCTGTAACCTCTTCAGCTTCTGACACCTCCTCCTCCTAATCTTCTCCCTCTTCTCCCTCTGTCCACTCACCGTTGTCCCACCACCAATCCCTGGGCTCTGAGCCTTCATCCCTTGGAGTTTCCCCAGCTGGTTCCTCCCACCATTCTGCTGCATCCAACAAATCCACGACACTTATACGGAGTCAGGCCCTAGGTCACTCTAACTCAGTACTAACTGGCTGTGGCTTTGCAACTGTTTCAGGCAGGGGACCTTCCCAGACCTACCTGGAAAAGCCAGGGCCTCAACCTTGGACCTTCTTCATGCAAACCAATTGCTACAATTCTTGCCCAGAATTCAGGATGAATTCTTCTGCAGAGGACATGTCAAAGAGGATTCCAGGTGTCTTTCTGATCCATAGAAGATTCTGTTGTCTTGACAAGCCAGCAACCGAACCATCTATGGCCATCTTCAAAAGACCCTGAAAAGGGTTGAAAGTGGAGTGCGTTTTTTGGCATGTAAACCACACACCTGAGAACAGTCGCCTGTCTCAAATGAGGTCTCCATGCAATGTTCTGGAAGGAAGCGGGAAGCAGCTGGGAGACACCGAGGAAAAGTAGAGGCACGAGGACCAATAGGGCAGGTGCTCAACTACCACAATGGCCCCACTTTAGTATCAAACGAAGCTGTGTTAAACAAAGGCAGACAGTTGGTTCATCTAGCTAGTTCCATATTCTCCACATAGTATTGTCCAGGGTTTCATTCCCAGCCCTACCTGAAGATCCTTGGGGATAATCCTGGTACCACTTTACCATTAAGCTTGCTGCCTTTCTTGCTTCCTAGCAGGAAAAAATGAGACATCAATCGTAAATACTGTTTATACTGTTTTGAAATCATCAAAACTTCACAATATATAGTCGCTGGCAATGTGGTAGTAAATAATTCATTCCCATTCTGGGCTGATAATAGGGAAATATGCGATAACTTACTAACTATGAGACACTAGTTGTAAGAAGGAATTTTAATGCTGCCCTAAATATTTATCTAAGGCTTCCTCAGCCTCGGACCTCCAGATGTTTTGAGACTACAATTCCCAGCATCCCTGACCACTGGTCCTGCTAGCTAGGGATCATGGGAGTTGTAGGCCAAAAACATCTGGAGGGCCGAAGTTGAGGAAGCCTGATTTATCTGGTCAGAAAGGAAATGAAACAATCAAAATGAACCAGTCAATGGGTATGCAGTCATTTGGGTACAATGCTAATATCCTCTCTGAATTTTTAAAATTTGCTTGGCAGAAACATTTAGAAAAGAAAGCTAAAGTTGCTTAACTTTTTATTCTTCCTGTGGAACAAATTATTCCTGGATATTGTTCTTTATTAGCTACTCTCTAAGCATATTTTCAGAGCTCATTCCAGACTGCAGCGAAAGAGTGAGTAAAAATATAAAACCCGGGGGCGAGGGTCTTCCCTCCCCCCCCAAGCTAATACTATCTTAAAATTAACCAGTGCAATCCATGGTCACTTTGCATTCTGAAAATATTCAAAACCATTATGGTATTTCCTGTTCTTTACAATGAAATGACTAACATATTAGTTTTTACTGCTGGAATATTCTGAGGTAAGGCCAGGCTTAAAGAAACAGTAGTGATTGATCCAAAACAGTTTAGTTATGGTGCCAAAAAGGATGACTCATGCCACTGTGACATGTATCTTGCGTTCACTAAACCAAAAAACAGTTGGATCAACTGAATTAGCCAAATTTACTTATTCATTTTATAATCCATGTTTTATTTGTCTGCTTAACTTGCTCCCTGAAAATATTATGTGAAATTTTGTTTTGCAGCACCATGTCAAGGGTCCGTAGCAGGAGAAAGATGAGATAAAAGATTTCAGTGTGGGCTGGGCTGGGGGCAGGGCCTGCTCTTAGATTTTATTGAAATTATTGTTATTATTGTCAATCTCAAACCTTAACAAAATGTTTTAGTGCTGAGCCCTATGTACCCAATATTCCCCTCACATAGCTACAATTCCCAGAGTTCCCTGGGAAGGAGGATTGCTTGCTAAGTCATTATGAGAACTGTAGCTGTATGTGGGGAATGGGGTCTTCTAATAACTCTCAGCATCAGTGCTTTTTTCCAGCCAGAAATCGCCAGAACTCAGTTCTGGCACCTCACAGATGGGTGCCATTGCCATTATAAGAGAACAAGGAAGGCATTTATGGTGAGTTCCTGTACCTCTTTTTCTAGAAAAGCAGCACTGCTCAGCATCCTTAACAAACTACCATCCCCAGAATTCTTTGGGGGAAAGCCATGTTGGTTTAAATTGGTATAATAGAGTTTAAACATATAGTGTAAATGGGGCCCAGCTGTCCTTTTCCAAACATGCCCCTAAGAGCGACATGATGCCCTCACACTCTGGGAACTTTTGAGTGAAAAGAGTGGCAGCTACCAAATGACTAGAGGGACTTCAGTGAATTTGCAGTGGTGAATTTTGTACCCTACCCCACAATTTTGGCTCCTCCTCAAATCGCCTGAATTCTTTCTCTCTGCCTCCAACTCCCCACTTTAACATCCTTATGAACGAGGCAAGTAAAGCAGAGGGGGATATTTCTTCACTCAGAATTAATATATTTTTGGAAAAATTGCTGGAAATATTGCTGCATTTTTTTTAAGGCTGTGTATGCACCATACATTTAAAGCACATGACGTCCCCCTAAAGAGCACTGGGAACTGTAGGAACTCCAGCACCCTCGACAAATGTGCTTTAAATGTATGGGGGTTTGTGCAGCCGTAGTTAGCAAAGATATAAGAGAGGTGGTGAACTCTCCTTCCTTGGAGGTTTTTAAGCAGAGGTTGGGTGGCCATCTGTCATGGATGCTTTAGCTGAGATTCCTGCATTGCAAGGGGTTGGACTAGATGACCCTCCAACTCTTGGGGGGTCCCTTCCAACTCTTAAGATTCAATAATTCTATCATGTGGTGTGGAAACATGGGGAAGACACCGTATATTCCTGCCCATCCTAAACAAGCCCATTGGTTTGGATGGCTCTGACTTCCACTCTTGAATTATTATTATTTGGGGGTGGGGGGGGTAGCCTGATCCAATGCATATTTGCTCAAAAGTGCATAGAGTCTCTTGGGCTTAAAGGTAAAGGGACCCCTGACCATTAGGTCCAGTCGTGACCGACTCTGGGGTTGCGGCGCTCATCTCGCTTTATTGGCCAAGGGAGCCAGCGTACAGCTTCCAGGTCATGTGGCCAGCATGACTAAGCCGCTTCTGGCGAACCAGAGCAGCGCACGGAAACGCCGTTTACCTTCCCGCAGGAGTGGTACCTATTTATCTACTTGCACTTTGATGTGCTTTTGAACTGCTAGGTTGGCAGGAGCAGGGACCGAGCAACGGGAGCTCATCCCATTGCGGGGATTCGAACCGCCAACCTTTTGATTGGCAAGTCCTAGGCTCTGTGGTTTAACTCACAGCGCCACCTGCGTCCCTCTCTTGGGCTTACTCCTGTGTAATTATGCTTGCACTATATTGAACTAAATGGTGAAAGAAATCAGAGTCTGCAACTCTGTGCGCGCTGACATAAGAGTAAGTCCCAGTGAATTTAATAGGGCTTACTTCTGAGTAGATATGCACAGTATCATGCTGTATATTAGAAATTAGCCATTTGGCCAGGATAAGCCAGCCAGCATTCAGCACTGTTAAGTCTCATTGATTTTAGTGAGAGAGCTGAGCATACTCCAAATCTCTCCCAATAAGAACTTAAGACTCCTAACTTGGACTGGATAATGCTCCTTTTCTAGATTTTCCTATAGATGAGGGGGAGGGGGGAGGGGAGAGATGCTTAAGTCAGTGTCCCTGTCTGGACATAGAAAAGTTTGTAGCTCTCTAAATATTTTGGAAGGGAGATTGTTGTTGTTTTAAAAGATGTAAATATATCCTAAGGCTACTTTCCTATCTATAGATAACAGATTTCTGAATAATCAAATAAATGATGTGCAACGCCAACAGCGATTTTTAATAACACAGATAACCTAAGCTTACCTGAGAGGTCTTTCTATTAGAATGTAATTAAAGATAGCTATTCAACATTGTAGGTTGTAAGCAGCACCGAACTTCTAAAATAGTAATAGGTTTTTCACTTTTCTTCTTGTGGCCAAACCACTTGCAAAAGTAGCATACAGTGGTACCTCGGGTTACAGACGCTTCAGGTTACAGACTCCGCTAACCCAGAAATAGTACCTCAGGTTAATAACTTTGCTTCAGGATGAGAACAGAAATTGTGCGGTGGCGGCACAGTGGTGGCGGGAGGCCCCATTAGCTAAAGTGGTACCTCAGGTTAAGAACAGTTTCAGGTTAAGAACGGACCTCTGGAACGAATTAAGTTCTTAACCCGAGGTACCACTGTATGTCTGTCTTTGAAAGAGTGCCGCCCCTACTGTTAGGCATAGTGAGGTGGAGACTTCAGGTGGTAGATATTGAGGGACAAGTGGCAACAAGGTATTGGTGGACACAGCTATGTGTGCTGTGTGGCCTGCCTTTTGGCCTCCAAGCTAACCAGCTGCCCCCAAGAATAGCTGAGGACACTGTTAATGCCAGTGTTGAAGTAAGATTTAGCTGCCAGTCCAGTTGCAATGAGGGAGGTGCCATCTTGTCCTTTGCCTCGGGCAGCAAAATGTCTTGGGCGAGCCCTGCTTTTAATCATTGCTTCCCCCCAATCCCATATATAGCTGTAGGTGGAATTGCAATTTACGGATATATGGGTGAAGGGGTATTGAAATCCCCATCACCTCCCACTTTTCCTTCAGCTAATTTCCACCGAAAGCCTGACTCCAGTATCAGGAGTGAAACTGGATGAAAGAAAAGCGGTGGGGCAGAAGAGGGAACTATAGGGAGAGCAGTAGCAGGTAGGAGGGTTCAACATCTCTTACCCACATGACATTTATGTGCCCCAAATCACCCCATCTCCCACTTAACACATAATTCAGCTCCACATTTAAAAAGACATAAGAACACTTTCCTTGGCAGGGAGAAAGTTTTGAAAAGTGATGTATCTATATTGGTGTTTGCGTCTCACACAGCTAATAGACACAGACTCACTCTCTTGGTTCAAGCATAATGGAAAACCATGGCTTGTGATTAGGAGATTTGGTGTATGCAAGCCTTGGGCTCATGTGCTGTTCCTGAATTCCCTCATATACGATTAAGATGAAGTTTGTGCTTTTGCCTTTAAGCTAACCACAGTTCCGTCTGACATCAAATTGCAGGAAACTGTGTCCCCTATCCCCCCTAATTCTGGTTGATTCAAACAAACCAGGATCAAACCATGGTTTGATATTCTAATTTGTTAACTAATTATAGTTAAAACAATCCAGTTTTCTGTATTTAGGGAACTGTGGTTAGTTGACAACTTTCAATATCAATCAAAATTAGAAGCATCCAAGGACGCATCAGTCCCCAGGAAAAATGTATTGTTCAAACAAGGTTCAGATGGAAAAGGAAACCCTTCTGTCCAGAAGGAACCAATGGTCATCCTGAATGAAAGGAATCAGTCCAGTGCTTGAAACTCCTTTACTGAGGAGTTGTCCCCTCTGCTTCATTGGCTTATCACACAGGGCAGCTATTTACAGGTCCTGACGCAGTCCTCATTCTTCCATTTTGCAAGTCAGTAGGATATGTTTCTGTGCCAGGAAAGCTTCACCTAGTGAACTCTGCAGAGGAAGCTACTATGAGAAGAGCAGGTCATGCTGACATTTTGGTGCAGGATGCAACATATTTGACTATTTGCACCATCGCTGCTGAAGCTGGTAGGGAAGGGCCATAGCTCAGTGGTAGGGCAGTTGCCTTACATGCAGAGGGTCCCTGGAAGAAACCAGCCTCTTTAGGTAGGTCTGGGAATGTCCCGTTCTGAAACCCTGGAGAACTGTTGTCGTTCAGTGTAGTGACACTGAGATAGGTGGAGCAATGGATCTGGCTCAGTTTAGGGATGCATCCTATGTTCCTTGGTATGGATAGAAAGTGATGGGAAAGGATAGCCTGCATATTTTCTGCATTTTTGGTTTCCAGTTAAAAGCATAAGAAAAGGGTCAGTAATAACGAGGGGGGGATTAACAGTAGCAACGCTACTGAAGTGTCTATCACCTTCACCTGCCCCCTGCCCAAAGGACAGATGGTCTTACAAAGATGCAGAGTGATGGAGAAAGCTCAATCTCATGACCATCTGCCTACAACCCTCTTAAAGGCACTCCCATGAATCTATATAAAAAGACGCAATATGCATAAATAGAAAAAAAGTATCAACTGCATTCTCTCATCCGAAACACATTTGTTTAACGCAACATTTTAGTGGTGCTGTCAAAAACATGGAAAAGTAATTTTGTTTTCCCTTTTGCTTTTTCAGACACATACTTTTTTATCATATATCCCCCAAAATATTATATTGCATTGAGCTACTCTTTTGGTCCTGCTGAGGCCACAATTGCAGAAATAAAGGACACCCAAAGGTGGCGCTGTGGTTCAAGTACACCTATATACTGTATCTATATATATTTATTAAACTGAATTATAATCATTCATTTTCTCGCATTTTCAAAAGGGATAATGTTAGTCTTTGCATCATCACCATCATCATCTGTAAAGAGGTATCTCTGGCTAAAATCTTCCTGCTAACATATGTTAACACATTAACTTTGCAAGTTTCAGGGTACTTTACTGCCTTAGGTACTTGCCAATGCACTGTGATCACTGATTACTTTCACGTGTCCCTTTACTCTTGTCAGTGGGGCTGTTTTGGTCAATTGTAGGACATGGGAAAACAGTTGTTCTTTGATCATGCCAGGGCAATTGCGGGCTTGGCCGTGTGCATTGCTCCAACCCCTCCCCCAACAATAGAAACCAAACCAAAACTCTGCTGTGATCACTTGCATGCAGATAATGCAATTTCCCTGTCTTGAGCAAAGGGCCAACTGTTTTCAATTGTCACAAAAGTGGCTCAGAGAAAAGCAGCACAGTGCTGCTTTGATTTATTGGCATGTGAAAGTACTTCTTGCCTGTCAAAGCAAGACCTTGTTTTTTCTATATTAAGGATAGGCCAGGGGCTCAGTTAAGAGCCATGGGGGCTTCCCATTGGACCCTCAGCACAGCCCCTCATTCCACAGATGCAGCTTACAAGGTACCTCTCTCAGGTGTTTTTTCCTGGCCAAGTTAAGCCCACAGGCAAAAAGGATCTTGGACACTCCCCATCCTCGTTCGAACACTGAGAGCTAAACTAGAAGTGGGGGCTGCAGTTCTGCATGTCAGGTCATCACTTGGCTCTACAGAGACTTTAGTGGAGCTGGATATATTTTATACTTGTACTAAAGGTAAAGGACCCCTGGACGGAGAAGTCCAGTCAAAGGCGACTATGGGGTTGCAGCGCTCATTTTGTTTCAGGCCGAAGGAGCCAGTGTTTGTCAATTTTCCAGGTCATGTGGCCAGCATGACTCAATTGCTTCTGGTGCAATGGGACATCATGGTGGAAACCAGAGTGCACATTTACCTTCCTACCACAGCGGTACCTATTTATCTAATTGCGCTGGTGTGGTTTCGAACTGCTAGGTGGGCAGAATCTGGGACAGAGCAATGTGGATTCGAACTGCCGACCTCCCGATTGGCAAGCCCAAGAGGCTCAGTGGTTTAGACCACAGCACCACCCGCAACCCTTTGCTTTAGCAATAGGACAATGAGGTGCCGACGATGTCACCCAAGGTTGGCTTACTAAGCCTATGTTAACATTTGGAAAAGCTGTGTGGAAAAAGTTCAAGAAAAAACATTTTTTTTAATAAGGAGGGGTGAGTGGGGAACTTTAGAGGAGGCAGAGGTGCTTACCTGATATCTTGGAAATCATGAGGAGGAAGGGATGGTGCAAAGTGCTATCTCCCCTCCCTCCCCAATAAGAAGCAGAGACTCACCTGTCAGGAGGTCAGGTAGGTGCCATCACCCCCGTCTTCTACTGTTTGGTTGGTGATAGTTTTACAGTGTTCAAAATGGCTTAGAGGCTTCTTTGAAGTGTAAGTGATATGTAGATTACCTTACTAAATAATATAATGTGGGAGCACCAAACCCTTACTAAAATAAATAATTACCTACCATTAGGCAGAGTGTGGCAGCTTCCTCAGGTGGCAAACAATGGAGTGGGCAGGAGGAAGGGAGTGACACTGAAGGTTTGTGTGTCACAAAGCCATTCCTGTACTCCTCCCCAAGCTATGGTAATTCCCTTTGGTATGAGGGAGAATGCTGCCCTACCAGTCAGTACATGGAATGGGAAGTTGCCATCTTGTCCTTCAGCCTGTGAAGCTACTTTTTAAAACTTTCTCTCTCTTCGGCAGTGATCTGGAACTGGAAGCATTGTATAATAATAATAATATTTGTATACTGTCCTCGCATAAATATTCCCAGTGTGTTTATGTAAAAGGAAAACATTTACTTTACTGAAAATAATTTAAGGCTGATTTTCTGAACAAATGCCCACCCAAAGTAGCTTACAATCAAAACGGAATATAAAAAAACAATATAAAATGCAAACACAGTACAAAATGTAAAACTTTATAAATGTATGTGATGGCAGCAACCCCAGGTCTTTAAATGCAGGTCTGCCCCAATTGTGTCCAAAGTGTGTGCGGGGGTGGGATTTAAAGGGTGTATCGGCACCAGCCCTTATCCTGTCTGTCTGTCCTGCAAACTAGCTCCTCCAAGGTCAGTTTTCTCCTAGCTGGGCTCCTGAAGGTGGCCAGATGCAAAAGAGGACAGGGCTCCTATACCTTGAGGAGTTGTTCCATAGAGAGAATTTCATTAGCTGTACCTGCAAATTCTGTATTCTACACAAGTATTAAAGGTGCCAGAGCCTCATCAGCTTTTGCATCTGGTCACCCTAGCTCCAATACAACAGGTAAGTAAGTGTTGGGACAGGGTTGCCAACTAACCAAGGAAAGATAAGACACAAACCAGCCTGTCCTGTCCTTTTAATAGAGGTTTGATACACTGAAATAAGCTGGGTGATGTTTTTCATGGCATCTGCTAAATGCTATAGCTAAAACTGATGTTAAAGTGGCAAGGAACCAATTAAAAATTTGGCAACCCTAAGCATGGGGTATGTGTGCAGGAGAGACAGGTTAAACACCTCATGTTATGCCCTCAATTTCTCCTCCATCTCTGCTTTGCACATAGGTGAGGTAGATTAGTATTTAAAGCATAGGAAGATCCTTTGGAAAGGATAGTAGCGAAGTGGTTGGGCATCTCTCTTGCATTCACAAAGTCCCAGCTTCAGTCCCCAGCATTTACAAGTAGGTCTGAAACCCTGTAGAGCTGCTACCAGTCAGAGTAGACAACGCTGATCTAGATGAATCAATAGTTTGACTCTGCCTAAGGCAGATCTATCTATGATCTATCACCATTCCTTGTAATTTGGCCCACAGGCTATGAGCTGAACCGTCTAAGAAACTTCTCAAACTGTTCTCCCAGGTTTATGCATTTTATTGCATTTATGATATGTCACTCTGAGCAGATCATTAGATATAGGATCCTGTTGCCTGTGATATAGAAACATAGCACTGAATATACCTACATCCCCCTTACCAATATTTCTTCTTCAGGGGCTGTTTGCTTCTGGCTTTGGTTAAGTATGGGCTTCAACAACTGTCCTTTGCATGGAATTAATATTTCATTTTTCTATTAGAATTTTACGCAACTGGATATTTAATTCCTTTAACTGGGTCCTCGCTCTCTTCAAGTCGGCTCAGTTGTTTGTTTTAAAGAACGATGGTATTGCCTTTTTAAATGGCACAATGCGCTGTTAACTGCCAGCCAGACGTAAAACATATTCCTCTTTTAAAATTTTATGGGGTATTAATAACACTGAGTTACAGTAGCATTAATTTTTAAGCTTGAACTCCCCATTGATTTCAACAAGGAGTACTTAAGAATCAATGGCCACTGCTTTGATGAGAGGGACACGGCTAACTTTTTCTTTTTTACTTTTCCAATCAAAGGATCAAATTTTGTCCTAAGTAGTATACCACATGAAGAGCTGGTAAAGTGTTAAGTGTGTGAGCATAGGACTGAGTCTAAAGTGCTCTCTGAAATTTCTGAGGAAAAAAAACAGCCTAGGAGGCCTGACCCTATATTCCTTCAATATCAACATAATCAGTGCTAATACCTCCAGCTGCACTTTGGAGGAGTCCCATTCCATTGACCTCAGCCAGTGTGCCCTGGAGTAAGTGGTTTGAGGATTGCTGCCTTGATGATCTGTACCCTCTTCACTCTCTCCTTCAACAGGAAGAGTTATACTTGTTCATTATCAATAAAGTGGCTTAGAGAAGCCGCTCTAAATACAAATTAACCAAACTCCAACAACGGGGGTGGAGAGAGATGGACATTCAGAGTTAATATAAGAAAGTTTGGTAGTTCAGTGATGGAGCTAAATCTTTGCATGCACAAGGCCCTTGGCTTCTCAGGCAAGGAAAACTGGCAAATATCCGTTTACCTGACTGCCTATGATAAGAACTGCATCCAGGTAAGCAGACATGAAAGCATTTCAAATGTTGTTTCTCTTATGTCACAAATAGTTAGCATGAAGTATGTGGGCAGTCATTTTTCTAGGTTAATCTGAAAGACTAGGAAATGTTTCTGCCCAAGAATTAAGACAGTCACTTTTTCCCTTTGGTAGGTAGAGCTTTCTACATGCCCATGCTGAGAAGCATAGCATGTCTCACAAAAAGGCACATGTGAAGAGCCCTAAACTGGTTGTGATTTTCAGAATTGTAGGAGGTGCTGATATGGCCCTTATAAAGTAGAATGTATATAAAATCTGTTTCAAGAGCTGTTTAAAACCAACGCTATCACAGGCACTGTAAAGAATACATAGGTGGCACTAGAATTTTATCAGAATGACTACAGTCCAGTTTAGGAAGATAAACATGAAAGGAGAGAGGCTTGCCTGCAAGCTAAATGCAGGAAAAGAGACACCGAAAATGAGAGTCTATTTTTCCTCTCTCTTTTTTGTAGGGCAAGAGAAGAGTTTGTACAAGCACAGATACCAAGGCTGTGAACCGATGCCCACTTGCTTGGGAGCAGCAAATCTCCTCAAACTCACTTCTAAGTAAATATCTAGAGGACTTAAAGGAAAGTAAAAGCCCTTTTCAAAACTGAACTTCCCACTGCAGAGTCAAGTTCTCTGCTTCAGCACTCAGCAGGAAGGTGGAAGGAGTAGTATCGGAAAAGGAGTTATGGAAAATAGTTACAGCGGCGTTTAATGTTGGCTATCGAAACTAATCCTCTTTGGATCTGCCTTAGAGCTTAGCACTGGGGAAAGTCACAGTCCTGTCCAACTTGCAAAACCTGTTGAGTCAACATCCCTGCTCCAAACCCCTCCATTTGAAACCTCCTATGTGGTGCCACAAAGAGGAATAGATTGGGGAAGGCCAGCAGGGCAAAAGGTGGTAAAAGTGAGGCTTTGGAGGCATTATAGTCGTCGTCAGTTTTACTGAAGGCTACCCATCTATCTAGTGCAGTGCAGCACACATTTGTTTAGACCCAGTAACATCTCCAGTAAGTGAAGGGGAACAGCAACAGCAGTTGCTGAACTATTCAGACCAAAGGAGCCAGCATAGAGCAGCACACTGAATTTGGACTGGGGTTCACCAGTTTGCTCTGCTCCAGGGAAGCTCTGGTCAAATAAATGCAAACACTGTATTTACTTGAATCTGATGCTCACCTTTTTGGCCAAATTACACCACGAAAATTAAGGTGCACATTAGATTCGATGTCACATTTACATTTGCCAGCAAATACTTTTTTGGGTTTCAAGGTTCTGAAAATTGAAGTGCGCATTAGATTCAATGGCTCATTAGACCCGAGTAAATATGGCAGGGTTGCCACCTGTCCGGTATAATACAGGATTGTCCTGTATTTCCATGTAAAAAGCTACATCCTGTATCATGGGCGTAGACAAGATTTTTGTTAGGGGGAGACAGAGCTGTTCCTCCGAAGATCGCCCACCAAAGTTCTTGAGCTTTTAAAAAAAAAAATTGCCCCCAAAAAGAGGACATTGAAAGGCAGCAATCTTTTGCTGGGGACAGGCATCTGCTGGGTGTGGGGAGAGCAGAACCTCAATTAATTGAGTACTTTCAATGCTTTTCAGTACAGTTTTTTGTGGATCTTTTGTGCCTCTCCCCCGTTGATAAGAGTTTTGTTCTGTATTTCAGGTATTTTTCTCTCTCTGCCAAGTTAGGGGCCATCCTGTTAGGCTGCAACAGATTGTAATGGATTGCTTGGAAGTCACTTCAGGACCAGATTTTTTTTAATTATTAAAGAATATCGTCCACCAACCACCCCATCCTGACTGATTGAATTTATATACCGCCCTATACCCGGAGGTATCAGGGCGGTCCACGGAACAAAATCAGAATATAAAACCGCGAAATGTTCTGTATTTTGCCAGAATAAAGATGATCTACTCGCAGGGTGGGGTGGGGGGCATTTGCAAATGAATGAGCTTTTTGAAACCTACAAAGCAACACTGCATGAAGGTGGTGGACACTTGACAAGCGAGCGCCCTGATTGAAAGTGAGCGTATCGCCACTCTTAATATTTCAAAGTTTCGTCGGGGGTTGTTCCCAGCATAGGAGAAGCCCTCATGAGGGGATTTCGCCTGTTACTTTGGGGCGAAAAAAGGAGAAAATTTGGTTCTCGCGACCCCCCGTTGCCTTGACGCCCCTGCGCGTTCTGCCCAGAAGTTTAAACTCCCAACGGAATTTAACGGACTCCGCTCCCAAAGGCGCGCGCAGGAGGCGACAGCACAACCTAACTTCATCCTATCACGTCTTCCCCCCACCCTCCTGGCTCTGCTCCCTCAGGTGATTTTAAGTTTCGGCGCTCGCGGCCTGCGACCCTACGCATAGTTTGTGCTGGGGTGGGGGGGGGGTTGAGTTCGAGTTTTAAGAGCGTGTTAATAAGTGCTTCTTCTGGTCCTGAGGAAGGGCGCGCAGAAGGACTGGGGCCTTTAATGACAGGAAGGACTGGTAAGCACGGCGGCCGAGGAGGAGACGGTCTGCCGGACGAGGAGCTGAGTGAAGCGGACGACGACAACGACGTCCTACCCCCTCCTCGCTCGCTCGAGCTTCTGCCGCCCCGCTCGGCTCCCCACCTGACTCGGTTCCCCCCTCCTCCCTCCCCCCAGCCCCGTTCCTTTGTCCTCCCGCTCGCGATTGGCAGGTTTTATTATTCCGCCTCAACAAGCCGCGAGCGGATTGGCCGGCGCGGCTGTGACGCGAGGGGCCGAGCCGCGGAGTAGTTGGGGTTCTGCTCTGTCAGTAACACATGGGCAAGAGCGGCGGAGAGAGGCAGCGAGGAAGGCGCCAGCGGGGAGACGGAGGCCTCCTCTGCGCGCGTCCGGAGACGAGGCAGCGCCGCCCGGGGAGCCGCGGAGGGTCGTGAGAGGAGGAAGGAGAAGCAGAAGAAGCCGCCGCCTCCTCAGTCATCGTCGTCGTCTTAACAGCAACAGCCGCGCGCTCCGGCTCCTTCGCTGCCCCACTCTCGGGACTTTCCCCCTGCGTCGGCCGTTGGCGACGAGAGGCTTTGGAAGCCGCCCGAGCCCCGCGACAGGGAGGTGGCGGCGGGAAAGGGGTGGGGGGGAAGCGCGAGCCAGCTCGGAAGTGCGGCCACATCTGCCAAAACTTAACCCAGCTATTGCAGCAGCAGCGAGAGCGGCGTCGGCGCCGCCGCCCGTGCTCGCCTTTTGCAGCAGCAGCAACAACCCAGCTCTGCATCTCCCCTCGAGGGGAAGCAGCGAGAGTAGGACGAAGCAGCAGCAGCAGCAAGGAAGGAAAGGAAAGGAGGGCTGGAGCAAACGCTTCCCGGACATTTCCAACACCACCACCACCACCTCCTCCCTCCCAGCCCGGGGCTGCTTGCAGTTCCCTGACCCGGACGGAGGGTTGCTGCTCCGCGTAGCCCGGCGAGCGCGCTGGGTTTGCTCCGAATTGGTCCGCCGTCAATCGGGATCGAGCCGGGCCAGCCCACCAGCACCAACCCGCCGGTCTCCCCCTGCGAGAGCTCTCCCGAAGCTACAGCCACGTTGTCCACGGCCTCTTGCACCATAGAGGGGAAACAGGTAAGATCGTGGGCGCGGGAGTGGAGAAAGAGAGCTGCTTGGTGGTGCGTTGTTTTTTTTCTTTTGGATGATTGTAGCTGTTTCTCCTTTCCTTCCCCCCCCCCCCCACTTCGTTGCGGTCCGGAGTGGGAAGTAAACACGGCCACCCCCGCCATCGCCTGGAATCAGATGGGGGGGGGGGGAGAAAAGTGGCTGCACCTCCCGGGAGCCAAGCGGCGGCGGGGCCGCCCGCAGCCCGGCGTAGCGGTACAAAAGGCTGCCTGCTTTGCCCCGCGCTGCTTCTCTCTCTCTCCAACACCCCCCCGCCCGGTTCTGCCTGGGAGTCGCGGAGGAGGTGGGAGGAACGGTCGCCCACTTTCTTTGTAGTAAAAAACCCCCCACTTATTTTGAAACAGTGGCAGGTTTGGAGGAGGAGGAGGAAAGGGAGAAAGAATAATCTTAAGTGAGGTATTTGCTCTCTTCTCTCACTCTCCTTTCTCTTTCTCTCTCTCCCCCCTCCTTTTCTCCTCCTTTTTGTTCAGGGGAAATCTGATGAATCAACCTAATTAAAACCAAGCCGTGAATTAAGCATCCATTTTTATTTTTTTTTGGTACTACAAATTGCAAGCTCTACGCTTGTCCCTCCCTTGGTCTCCATTAAAATCACCAGAGACGTTGTTAAAAGGAGGGAGGGGGTGTGTGTTTTGCCTCTAGCTGCCAGCTCTCCTTTCTGTTTCATTGCCTCTGTTCCAGGACCTAAATTGCTTGGCTGTGTAATTACCAGAGTAAGCCTATTTAAGTTAAAAGCTTTCCTTCTCTTTCTCTGCCCCCACCCCCCCAACTCCAAATGAAACTTGATGAGGGCCCGTCCTTAGTTATCAAGGGAGTCACTTTCTGGTCAGTCCTCTTGATTCATCTCTTTTAGATTTAATCAGCATTAAGGTATTGCTTGTCCTTAAGAGCTTTAGCTTAATGGGGTTACTGGATGCTTCTGTCAGTGTAGCATTTCCTTTTATATATAATATTTACCTTTCAACAAAGACAGGGTGGGTGGGAGCAAGGCAGTGGGGCTTGTGTGGGGTGTTTTTGGTCTTGGAAAGATGGGAAGTAGGTTTAACATACTTTAGGAATCCTCTTTGCTTTTAATCAGAAGTAAGAAATGCAGATTCATATTGCTGGAAATGGTAACAAAAGGCCATTCCATGAGTTAAATGCATCAGAAATCAATTTACATAAAGGTATATGATGCATTCAGAGAAATGCAATGCTAATGGCTTTTAGAGTGGTTCTCTTTCCCAAGTCTCGGGGTTTTTAGTTACAGTCTTAATTGGTGCAGTTCGCAGTCTGGTTTATTGTGTGGTCAACTGAACATATGATCAGGAGTTATTTTGAAGGAAATCCTGTTTTGTTTGGTCCTTTTAATTTTTTTAAAAGTGGCCTATTTTAAGGACCCTGAAGCTTCTGTTGTAACTTAGTTGGGCAACTAAGTGGCAGGAAAAGTTTGCCCTCTCCTCTTCAATCTTTCGCTTCAGAGGTATATGTCTTAGCAAACAGCCAGATGCTTTAGCTTGAGCATGGACAGCTTACAAAGGACAAAGGGAAAACACACTGCTTAATTGGCAGTAAATAACTTGATCTTTTTATAGTGCAAATGACTGAACAGTAGCCTGTTCGACTACTGGATTTGAGGCAGAGCAAATTAATCAGTTTGGAGTAAGCTTTATGAATTGGTTCCATTATTAATCTCCCTGTTGCCCTGCTTGTACAAAGCATTTATTAGAAAGTGAGAAACACACTTGTGGGTTTGCATGTGTGTCTATTTCCACCTCCACCCCTCCCCAAGCAGCACTTTTACAGCCAGCCATGCTAGCTGTTTCCTGAGTGGGGCATGCTTGATTGTTCTGCCTCTCTGCTTTTACGCAAAACTTTTTTTTTTTTTAAGGGCAACAAAGCGCTTAGCATTTAAATTGCTGATCAAGGGCAGATTAGTGAGACAAAAGTAGATGTGTTTGTATAGGAAGTTAACAGGCTTCTGAAAGTTAAGTGATCTATTATTATCCAGTAAAGCGTCCTTTGGGAGGAGGACCCCACTTTCATTTGATCTTTTGAAGAAATAAATAAATAAATAAATAAATAAATAGGGACGATCCTGGCTGAGCCCTTGCAGATAACAATAGCATGAAAAGGGAGACCTTGAAAAACTAGTTTCACAACTTTCTCACAGTTTTCTCCGGAGCTTATACTTGCCTCTCCTGTAAAATAGAACCAAACAATCCCCAGAATCATTCCCAGCTGGTGAGCTACAGCTGCGCTCCCCAAGAGTTGTGGTCAGGGATTGTGGCCTCACTCTGGCTGTTTTTTTATGCCATTCTCATTTTAGGACTGTGGGGCCCAGCAATTTATATCTGGGAGGGCCATGTAGACTGTGAGACTCCAGGTGTGTGTACTTTCCTGGCAGCAAACAAAGCAGGGGTCACTCTAAGTTTGACAGCAGTATTGCAAGCTAAAACTGTCATTGAGCACCACCAGCCAACTTGGAAGGGGAGGCAGCTAATTAACCCAGAACAAAGGCTCTGAAAAGTAAACAAGTTGCTGCTATTCCGCATCTTTCTTGGGCTGGGAGGGGCAGGTTGCAAGAGCTCTTAGTCTGAGAATCAACCCCTTCGTCTCATTTTTCTTTATTTCTTATTCCCTTATCCAGACCATGGTGAACCCAGGCAGCAGCTCGCAGCCTCCCCCGGTCACCAGTGGCTCCCTCTCATGGAAAAGATGTGCAGGCTGCGGGGGGAAGATTGCTGATCGCTTCTTGCTCTATGCCATGGATAGCTATTGGCACAGCCGGTGCCTGAAGTGCTCCTGCTGCCAAGCCCAGCTGGGAGAAATTGGTACGTCCTGCTACACTAAGAGCGGCATGATCCTGTGCAGAAACGACTACATCAGGTGAGAGAGACACAGGGGAAGTTAGGCTGGTTTGCTGGTTTCTTGAATACACGACTCCATACTTTTCCTATGAAGCAGAAGGAACTGCAGGCCAGAAATACCTCTGTTTGCAAGGGGTAGTTCAAAACTAGAAGCCTGATTTAATGAAACAATCCTTTTCCTGGTTTACAGTAGAAAACTTTGGTAGATGGCTCAAGGAGAGGTGTGGTAGAATAAAACTCCTAAAGTGATCCTAAACTTTTAAGAGAGAAGTTCCGGTTTAAAACAGTTGGCTGCCCAAAGCTACTATGGTAGTGGGGCAGAAGGACGCTTGTTTAGAACCTGAAGGGGTGAGAGCAAGCATAGAGTTGGCTAGAACAGTGGCGGGAAAAGGCTAAAACAGTGAGAGAGCTACCCTTTCAGTATCTGATTTATTATATTATTATTTGCATAAGCACCTTTAAATGAAAATGGAATGACTCATTCTCTGTATTCATTGTGAAAGAGTTGATTAATGGTTGGAGGGACTGTGACCGTCTCCTGTGCCAAACTCTGCACACCCAACACAGTGGTAATACATGCTTTCCTATTGCTGTGGAGCATATCTTTCAGTATAAAAGTGAACATGTGTATAGTTTGATCAATGTTTAAAATATTTCTTATTGCATCCAGTATTCTGCATCTCCTCCACTTTGCATAACAAAAATGTGTTTGTTTCTTCTCCCCACCCCCACTAGTTTTAGAGCAATTAATAGAAAGAATTTAAGAGGTCCAGGTGCCCATTCAATCTTTTCAGGTGAACTCAAGCTCCTTTAAACTCATTTTGAAAGGAGGCATTTTGAAGGATTACACATTTAATTTGAGTAAATGACTTGATAGACTGATGCACATGAATGCTTTGAGGAGGTGTTCTAGTTCAGCAACCAGTAATTAAACAGCCCCCTCCCACCTTCTTTGGCATATAAAGAATGTGAGGTAAAGGCATATGGAGTTTTTTTCTAGATAGTCTTGATTTTCATACTTAGAATAGATTTGAAAAAGTATCCCAGTTCTTGGAAGGAGTGAGCAAGCTTTAGTGGTTAAAATCATCTCTTTGTGCCTATTTTCAAATATTTAGTTATAAATATTTTGAGCCGATTTCTTCTGGAATTTGTACATTTAACTATGTAACAACTCTGTAAGTTGCATACTAAATATTACTTTGTTCTGATTCTGGAGGCAACAGCATTTTGAATTGGTGACACCAATAAGGAGACCCTTTCTTGTTCTGATAATGGCTCTTCTTTATGCTAGCACCTTCAATCAGCTAAATAGAATACAGAAAACAAAATGGCAATAGAAAGGTTTTAAGGGATTGCAGCATTCATTTTGCTAAGTGTGTGGATTTTTAAAGTAAATGCTTGAAAATCAGTGTGTGCAGGCTTACAGCGATGCATTCTTGATCCCTGTCCGAAGCAACTGCATAAGCGAGACAGAATTCTAATTAAATAGAGCAGAACGGTTAGAAAAAGAGGTTTGTTTGAAGTGGAAAAATTGACACTACTGTTCAGATTCAATGAACAGTACAGATTTCGTCTCTCTCTACTAAAACCATCAAACAAACCTCTTCTGATCACTACTAATTAAAAAGAGAAGTTGTCTACATCACCCCTAAGGCAAGTTCAGGCCAGCTTATTGGAATCTCTGCCTCAGGTTTTTGTGTGGCCAAAACTTATTACAGTTTTAATATAGGCTATTATAAATAGGGTGCTTTATCAGATGGTAAATTTGAACTGATTTTGTTCCATCAGTCTGACTCTTCCTTAGAACTGAATAGCTTGTCCAATAAAATATGGATACTTGAGTGTGCACTTCTGGAAGCTTATTTGTTCCATAGGATAAAGGTCTACTGACCCAAGTACATAAAGTTCCAGCATTTTCATCTGTGACCCTGATGACTCAGACATAAGTAGCTACATGTCCTAATCTATTAACAAACAAGATGCTACCATTTTACAAGTGCTCTTCAGTGTGTGTGGTTTTTATTGAGGATCAGGTAGGAAAATATATAGAAATAAGTCCTGATTTTGTTCTTTTGACTGCTTGCAGAAATTAAGTTGATCTTAATGGGACTTTCAATGAGATGTTTGTCGTAAAGCTTAGAGACAAATTGATCATTCAGCCTCTGAGGTGATAGGGACTGACTGATTGAAGTCTCTTCATAGGACAAGACAACTGGTTTTTATAAAAAAAAAACCACTATGGGCCTCTACAACTAAATCTGGGTAGTGGCTTTACCAAACCAGCCTTACCTTATCTAAGGATTGCCACAGATTTTATTGGCAGCAGAGGGCTGTGGGGTGTTCATGTAAGTAAAAGAATGGCAATACATTGACTCTTCTCTGACCCCTTAACTCACAACCATAGTACCCTAAGCAAAGGGAGGATTTTTTTGGAAGGGAGAAGGGTGATGGGCAGCCCTCCCAGCTATGAGATTCTAGATAAAGCAGCAGCGTGGCAGTGAATCTGCACAATTAAGAGCTTTAATTAGTGTCTCCTCCATTTTCTCTTAGTTCTGATAGGTTTTATCTAATGAGATCTCGTCCCTGGCTTAGATCTGCCTGGAATGACGTGTCCAAAATGAATGAGAGCTGTGTCGCAAACAAAACATTTAATTAACAAAATTGGCCTTGGAGAGAGCAAGAGAGAATAGGCTGGGGGGGTGGTGGTTGAAAGAGGTGGTGGGGAAGGAGAAACAAACTAGGCTTTTCTTAAAGGGCTAGTGCTGCTTGAGAACTCTTTCTGTACAAATGTCTATTTAATATGATTATAATCTCTTATATCCCACCTGGTGTTTGCTACTGAGGTGGCAGTGGAAATATATTTTTGGGTTGGGGGGCAGGTGAGCATATAGCCTTGCCTAGATCATGAGAGCATGGTCACCCCCCCCCCAAAAGAAAAGTGTTTGTGGTACTGTGCTTGACATGCCGGGCGGCAAGCACCTGATTCCCATTCCAACAGGCAAAAGATGTTCTCTGTTCTCCTTGCTGCTCATTGCCATTCACGTGGGCTGTCTGTCCACAGTATGAGCCATTTGAGGAGGGGAGGAAAGGGAGGGAGCAGCCAGGCAACGAGTTCATTTTTCTGGTAATCAACAGCAAGCTGCTATATTCAGGGAATGCTGTCCCTTTAATTGAACAGGCTAGGTAATTAAATGGCATTTTTCCAATAGGACGTGCTAGGTAAATCTAATAGTTGGTTATTTAATATCACTTTGAAGTCTGCCCACTCAAGCACAATGACAGCACAGGAGCATGTGAACTATTAGCTTGGAAAAAAAATCCAGGATCTCAAAAATTAATTAAATCGCATGCAATTTAGGGGGAACGTTTATCTTGATTTGTCATAACAGAATTAATTCAAGGCCTCCAATTCACTTGGGGGCAGATCTGTTACTCTGAATTAACCAAGCGTAATTTGGCTGATATTTTTTCCTCTCTCTTCCCCCCTTCTCTCTCCCTCTCCCTCTAATGCAGCACTTGCACAGCCGCCTTCCTCCCCCTTAAGTATCAATAGCTTCTGGTGCTTTTAAGGTGCTTGGGCTGTAGTTATGCTGAAGTACCTTTAATGGACTTGGCTGTAGGCATAATTTTTTTGCGTAGCCTTTGTTACATCTGATACAGCTGGCACAGAATTTGGATCCGGTATAGGAAATCTGATGGAAAACCAATTGCTTCTGGATCAGTAGCTTTGGATGTGCTTTTCTTTCAGCTAGGAAGTTTGGATGCTTCTGGGTACAGATATGTCGCCCCCTCCCTTCTCCTCCTCTCTCTCCTCTCCCCACCCCTTTCAGGTGCAAGGGGAAAATTGAACTGCGGGACTGGCAATGCAAAACTCTTTGTGGTGCAGAGCTGTTTGGTTTCCACAGCATGGTAAAAATCCCCACACTGCACCTTACTTTTCTGTAGTTTATTTTAAAAGTGTTCCAGTTGAATAAATAGAAATTTTCAGCTAGCCCCCCACCCCACATCCTCTTGTTCCCATCTCATCACCTCTGTCCGCTTCTAAAGGTTTTGAATGAGGAAGAGAGTTGGGATTAATTTAAGGTGGCATTACATAATGCTGCAAAATGTAGGACCTTTCATCCATATATGGAACATCTCAGTGTTGGTGATTGATTGTGTTGCCCAAATGTTGAAATATTAACAACCTCTTTGGACTCCAAGACCCAAAGAGAGGAAACTGAAACCACTTCTGTCATCGCAATTAAAGAGTCCCCTGGCTTTAATTAGCCTGACCTGGGGTATCTCTCCCCCATTGCTGGAGTTAAAGAGAAAAGAGCCCATTAAAGTCCAGTCTGAGACCGATAGTTACTTAATTGAGCACCTAAAGCCTCCAGCCTTTTAAATTAAATACTGTCCTGGACAGTCTCCCTGATTAGCTAATTAACTCTCCTCTCTCACAGAACCCATATAAAAACAACTTTTCAGGATGAGGGTAGTTAACAATGATTGTCTTCCTCCATGGTGAAACAAAAATTATCTGAAGCTTCTGATAAAGTGCCTCAAAATAAAAGTATTCTCATTAGTAGGAAAGAAAAGAAAAGAAAAGCATCTAAAAAAAGTAACGGGCAAAGTCCTGGACATTTGCTTCAGTAGTAGCCTAACCCTGCAGATTATGTAGACTGCCTTAAGTTAGTTTTGGCTGTGACTTCCAAAAATTCAAATTCTTTTAGAAGGAGGCTGGCGCTGTGTGTGTGTGTGTGTGTGTGTGTGTGTGTGTGTGTGTGTTTAAAATGAGGTACAAGTAGCTTTTGGGATTACATTTTTGACTTGGAATTATTAAAATTTAATTTAGATGCACAACCACCATTGCTCAGGAAAGTTTGTATGATACACACATACTTTATGAAGAGAATGTGTCACAGTTAAAGCAGCATGATTAAAAATGATTTTAAAATTGTGTGGCGCGTTTGAAATCCTCGCCTCTTCCACAGGAGGCTGTGAAAGAGGGGGTTTTTTTTCTGTCTTGCCTCCTTTAAAAGAGGGGTGTGTGCCTGTGTGTACTTGTGGGAAGAGAGTATTCATACAGCTATGAGATCTTCCTTTTGCCATTCTAGAAAAGCTTCCGTTGTAATTTTTGCTGCCACTTTAGTCACAGTTCTGCAGATGGACCTAAATATGCCTTTCTCGCTGCCTCTTTAAATGACTTCCTTCTAGAACGTTGCCACTGATAATGGGGAGTGGTGGAAAGAATACACATAGTGAAGCTCTCAGTGAAATCGGTTGTCCTTGTAAATACTTTGAAGTGGTCCTCCTGATCCAGCAGATGCTAGAAAAGCATCCATCTACTTTTTTTTCCTGGATGGTTCAGCCCTTTTTAGGCTGGAGGTCTTGGCAGTATATTAGTTCAGCTTTCCCTTTGTACCCATTCTGACTCGCAAGAAAGTGTCAGTGTGTTGCGGATCTCAGACTAATTAGTTTTGAAATGGAGTTTTGATTGAACTCTTCAAATCGATGCTGCTGCAAAATTTGTTTCTCAGGCTTCCTATTAAAAGCCATCTTAAGGGGCAGTTTTACTACTCTCCCTGTCGTTCAGTCGATACATTTAATACCAACTTACAGGCTATTTTCAATAAAGTGGCGACAGCAAATTAGTAGTTTGAACATGACAAGCCTCCCTCTGCAAGCACTGATTCTGGAAAACTCAAAGCAATTATTTTCGTCCCCCCTCCTTGATACGGAGGCACGCAGCAAACATTCAGATCACAGCATTTTCAGTAGTAACGCGTCCTCCAGACTGATACACAAGCACGAATGTATGACTTTACTATTGGGCAAAAAAGGCAATGGAAATAATTAATATTATGACACCAGTACATTTATTTTATAGATGCTATTGCACTCTCTCTCTCTCTCCCCCCCAAAGCACCCAAATCTTAAGCCATGGGAGGGGGAGCCTGCCAGCTAGTTCAGATTCTTCCTTCACTATGAGATGGTCCATCATTGTAATAGCTGTGGGTGCAGTGAGAAACTGCAGAAAAGCAAACAAGAGAGAAAAAAGCCATTTTTAAAATTCTAGCATACATATTCTGTAAAAGTGGGAGATCAATATTCATTAAAGTATTGTAGCTCAAATCAGTATGTTGTGCCTTTAAATGCATTAGAAGAATTGTGTATATTTTCCTTCAGTCCTTCCCCCCCTCCTTCCTCTGCTTTCCCTCTTCTGTCTCTCCCCCCCCCACCCCCATGGCAGATGTTGTGGTCTCATTTGATTGCATAGGAAAACTGCAGTGATACAGCAAACACCCAGAGAGATATGATGACAAATGGGTCCAGATCCCGGTAAATTACTTTCTGCTCAAATCGAAATTTCATTCAGTTTGTTGCTAGCAGAGATGAAGTAATCTAAATTGTGGACTCAGGAGCAGATAGAGGGAAGTTGGAGCAAGCATTTCATTATCAAGAGAGAGAGAGAAGGTTAGGATGAAAGAGATGAGCAGAGGCAAATCTAAAGTGTTGACACCATGATTGAAAAGGTTAACCCATACACATTATATATCAACCTGGATAGCCGAGAGTTTCTAATGGAAACTCTGCCCTGCTAGAGGTTTACTGGAGTTTCAATACACTGAGCATGATGTCGTCTTAGATATACAATCAAATCCTCTTAACCCTTTTGATGACTCATCTCTCAAGATATGATTAAAGTACAAAAAAGTTCTTCATATAATTTCAAGGACACAATGCATTTAAACTCCAGTCATGAATTCTGTCCCTTTTTTTATGACAAACCCAGTAATCTGATAAAAAGTGTTGTACAGAATTGGTTTGTGTTGCTGGATGCAAGTTAATATTTTATTAGATCCTGTGCTTCCAAGTCTTGAGAGGTCTAGGGTGCTCCTGTGGCAATTTGGCTTGTGTTGCAGTCTCTTAAATTATCACGCCCCAAAGTATGTAAACAAGCTTCAGGGGTGGATTTTGACAAGTTGAAATGGCTCTTTCAGAACTGGCTTCTTGATTCACAAGTGTCTCAGGTGGGGGAGAAAATAATAAGCATCACCTTTTTGTTTTCAGGTTATTTGGAAATAGCGGCGCTTGCAGTGCTTGTGGGCAGTCAATTCCTGCTAGTGAGCTGGTTATGAGAGCACAAGGGAATGTCTATCATCTTAAGGTAGGAAAAAATTGCCTTTCTGACACTGTCCCCGCCCTCCACCCCAAATATTGCAGCACCTGTGCACAGATCTATATTGGAATAAAAGCAGCTTCTGCTCTAAATTCGTAAAACGGGCTTAGTCATAAATGGAAAGGCTTTTGAAGTTGCATATGTTGTCCTAGTGATTAGTTGTGCTGCAGGTCTGAACACATTATTGGGTTCCAACAGGTGCAGCTTCCGGTATTTGGCCAAAGTCCCATATATCCCTTAACTTTGCCGTAATTCAGATTATAATATTTTTTGGCGTTTTTAATGCCCTCCCTCCAGTTTTAACTTTGCCTTTTGTTCACCCATTTCAGTGTTTTACGTGCTCTACCTGCCGGAATCGCCTGGTCCCTGGAGACAGGTTTCACTACATCAATGGCAGTTTATTCTGCGAACATGATAGACCTACAGCCCTCATCAATGGTCATTTGAATTCACTTCAGAGCAATCCACTACTGCCAGACCAGAAGGTGAATATTGAACAATTGCTAATGGACCTTATTAGAGTTAAAACAAGATTAATACATTTTTCAGCCTACTACTGAATATCTTTCAAATGGCTTTACACGATGGAATGTAGTGAAATGGGGTAAAGCTCCAAACATTGAGGTGCTTGGATTGTGAAGTGACTCCAGTTTAATTTGGGTCAAACCTCTGTGTGTGTGTGTGTGTGTGTGTGTGTGTGTGTGTGTGTGTGTTTGCATTTACCGAAACAATTCTGGCCGTCAAGAAGACTTGTGGGATACAATCTGGATCTGTCTTAACAAGTGCATGTACTTAATTGTAGCATTCTAGAGTCAGATAAGCTAATGGCACAGTAGTGGTTTGTAGAATCATTAGAAAAATAGTTACATTATTTGGTTCAGTTAGAGTTGGCTTGATTTTCAAGGAAAATGCTTTACTTTCTGTTAGCACCATTTTTTTCATGTCTGTTATGTCTCTTTAGTTTTTGGTATTAAAGTGTAGTATGGCTTACTCACTAGCAGAGTAGGGAACAGTTTTAATCAACAGTTGTCCTGTACCTCTGCTGTAACTGGACAGTTTTTAGATCTATTTTAATCTCCCTAATAAGTCCCATAGCTATGCAAGTGAGTGCATTTTGATAACTGCTATGCCTAATTTATAATAATTACTGTCAACCTTCAGTTAAGGGACTGTTCATTCCACACTGGTCCAGAAAACACTGAATGCACAAGTCTTGCACATAATTTTATTCACATCATATTTCATACTGATTATGTATTGATGACATTGATTCATTTACTCTTTACAGCGCCACTTGCATGGATATTAAATCTTATTGACCACAGATGAATTTTAATTTCAGATTGGTGATGGATTTTTCCATCAGCTCTGATAGTATATTTGACTTTTTCATCATTAACCCAGGCAATCACACAGCACTGAGTTATTGCATTGAAACAAAGTGCACACTTCACTTGGTAATTCTTTATGGATTTACAATAGGGACTTCATTAATGTCTGTTCCAAGGATAGCAAAAATAACATTTATCTGTTAGTAGGAATTTTGAAGATAAAGTCTTTTTTATAAAAAGAAAGAAAGAAAAAAGAAAGGAACAAAGCAACCCTTCGGCAACTTATGAATTCTGCAGCATCAGGGAATCTTTAGAGGCTTAATATGTTCAGAAGAACATGAACTTGCCCCTTAATAGGGGTGCATTGCTATAAGTACGTATTCTAGAAAGCTGCCCTAAATTTAATAGTGACCAAGTGTGTGTATGTTAGATGTAGTTAAGGACTCTCATGCATTCTATACTCCCAATAAAAGTCCTACTGAGTTCAGTAGGGCTTATTCCTGTGTAAGTGAGTTTAGGAGGACTGCCTTCTTTAAATATTGTTTTGGAATCCCCTATAGGCCAAGTGCTATCCTCAAGTCCCTGTTTCTAAATAACTGTTTAAAATATAGGGAATACTTCTTGCATCTAGTTCAGCTTTTTTGTGTATCCGTTTGCTTTGTGCATGCAGTAAAAGTTTAATATGCTTTATGGTGCCTTTGTTCTTGCTGTGCTTCAGCAAAAGTAATACTAATGTTGGCAGTTACAGAGGAGAGATAAGTGTGGAATAGAAACAGGGATTCAGGGGCTGCAAAGCTGTATTCATCCTACATGTAACTCTTTGTGCAGGAAGACTTCAATAAGAACAGTGCCTGGATTCTGTGGCTATTAACTGCATAGCTACAGTATGTTAAAGAGGCAACGAGGTGCTGAGAAAGATGCAGGGAGGGATGGACGACAAAGTGATGTTCTCAGCGGGTGACACTAATATGGCCTAGTGAGTGGCTTATCAGTTCCACAAGTGGGGTTGTGTGAGGGTGGTGTACTATAATTTAAGCCCAATTTTCATGGCTGAAGTTTAATAGGATTCTAGAGTCCGGGAAGAAAGCGGATTGTGTGCTTTTTTGGCACTGCATATTTTTGGGTTACTAATCTATGCATTACTCGGAGGGGAAAGTTAGAATTCTCAGTCCAGTAAGCTTGTTCTGCTAGCACCACAGAAAGCCCTTCACAAATGAAGCTGTTGTGTGCGGTTGTGCTGTGTTACTTGCTCCCACCCCTCTTCCACACTCCATTTTAAGCCTCTTCCTTTGGCTTCCCTATGATTTGAATTGTAACTCGTTGGACAAGGAGTGCTTCTGATCTCTGCTGTTTACAGTACCCAGCACAGCCTTGTTGCTTTAGTAAATGTTAAGGGGAGCCCGAAAACAGTCCTGATATAGCATCCTATATATTCCACCTATAGAAATAGTAGCCCATACTCTGCTTTGCCCATTGGCATTTTATTGGTGATGGACAACCTGAAGACGGCCAAGCGAACTCTGGCATTACATTGATTGCATTGTGATTTGTTTGCTCTGGCCGTGGTTAGTATCATTTCTGCATGATGGCCAGGAGTTGATGTTGCCCTAATAAGCTGGTTCCAGAGTCCTTCTTTATTTCAGAAGGCATCAACTCCATCCAGCAGGGATGGGAAGCCTGTAGCCTCCAGCATGAACCACTTCTTTAACCATATCCTTACTATCATAAACAAAATATTGTACTACCACCCCCAACTATGGACAGTAAAATACCGCCCCCCCAAAAAAGCTGGGTGCTTGATGGATGTTTATGATGTCCTGTGCAGATTTTGTCACTTTGTAGCTGAGGAATGTTGTCTAAAAGCTCATCGAGTTTCTTTCCTACTCCCTACCCTTAAAACCCTTTTCACAAGGTATAAGTTTTCCTTTCATTGGTGATGATCAGAGCATTTGCTTGGCTCTAGCTCCTATACTTTTAAATAAAGCATGAGTTAGGTTACGTTTTGCTATTCTGTCTGTTGCAGAGAATCTTCTAGTTTACATATCGCTCAACAATTCCCTTGTACTTACATAATTGGTATTGTCCCTGTCCATAGTAGAGGACACTTGATGCTCATTTATTAAATATGCTTGCTGGCTGCTCCCTAATCTTTGTTCTGGACAGACAAATTACCTTTCTCACACTGAGCATCAGCTCTGGGGAATTAAACCTCCAAGCTTCCACCACTTTAATTAGCTTGAAAGTGGGGGGTTGCAGTTACTAATAGACCTCAGGCTTTTAGTAACTTGGGGAAAGGGTAAAAAAAAAAAAAACTTCCTAGGAAGCTCAAAATGTCATTTAAAAACCATAAAAATCTAATATATTATTTCATTTTGGTAATTGCAAACAGATTGCATTTGAAGACTGTCGATCGTTTCTACTTTATCCATGGAAGTTAGATTTCTGTCGAGCTAGGCATTTTTAATTATCACAATTCATTAACACATCACTGTGGAGGCACATGTTTGACTTCGTATATTACAGAGTTTATGTAACGTTAACTAACATAGCAGATGAGGAATCTTAAATGGGAGGAAAATATTCCAAAATGTCTATATTTAGCTTTTGTGCTATGCAGCATGTTAACTAGCGTTGCCTAGGGGAGGGTATCTTATTTGCTTTAGACAGAATTTTTCCTAATTTAGAAGATCACTTTACTTTGTGTGCTTCAAAGGCAAGGCGTGTCATTTCATCCCTGTCCAAGGGAAATGCATCTTTTATAAAAGAAAAAAAGTAACTGTAGGATTTCCCATCAGAAGCTTCTATCTTTCCTTTGTGATAAATGTATCTTGCTGCTGTCAAAATTTAAGGACATTATTATTTTATTATTTTATTATTATTATTATTATTATTATTACTACATTTTTAGTGTGGTCTGTTTTGGTTTTCCCCCGTTTGAACTCTTCAGGGACTTGGATAAGTATTGCAGAAAACCTTTAATTGAGTCGCAGTTGGAAAGTAATTTAATAAGATAAGCAAATAAGGAGAATGCGAAACCAGTCACACTTGACTCAAATCAAGCATTTTAGCTAAGATGCCCATTTTTATTTCCTTGCAGGTCTGCTAAAAGGTCAGAGTACTGCAGAATGCGTGCCTTCATCTCAAACTTTGTTCATCACAGATGGATCCCATGTCTCCAGTAGACAAGTCACCTTTGTAGCTAGCATCAATGCCAGCTCCATGCCATTGCACCTTCTTTACTCTTGGTTGCCCTTCCCACATTTATTGGTGTATTAAAATGACTGAAAATGAACATTAAGGACTCCATGAATCTGGGCTATTGGGAGACTGTAGAGGAAATGGAGAAAAATGTCCACCAGAAGAGAACAACTTTGGGTGGGGAGGGAGTGGGGAAAATGACTAATGAAGCTAATTAAGATAAGCTTTTGAGTCTGCTTTCTACCCTCATTAACAATTAGCAGGGCACTGGTCAGAATTTGTACCCTGTGTTTTACCTTAACAACATTCTCTTTGCTCTTTGTATATTTAAGTGTTGTAAGGAAATGTGTTTCAAAACTCAAAACATGAGATAAAGGAAAGATGGGGCTCTTGTGATATTCTATCACAAACACTTTTATTGTATCTCTGTAAAATACAATGTATGTATGCATGTAAGTGTTTTTTTTGTCCTAATGTTGCTACTTCCCATGACACAAAAAAGAAAAAAAATCAAGCTCATAGCAGCTACTGTGTAGAAATTTTCACCTACTCCTAATTTGCTGAATGAAGAAGAAGAAAACTTTTATTTGTGATACTTTCAGAGACATTTGCTCTAGTATGGTGTATTTAAATAATAAAAACATAAAATGAAAATACTTGTAATTGAGTGTGACTTCAGTGCACTATAATAATAATATAGCAGATTTCCATTCAGAAATGAATTCTTATGCAGCTTTTAACTTTAGAATCTGTTTTTTCTGCTTTCTAATGGGTTTATGAAAATAAGGAATGCATTTAAATCTACAGAATAGGTGACTTTTGGCAATGGTACAGAACTCAAAAGTATTGCTGAGTATTTCAGATATGCAGATAATGGCAACATTAAACCTGTATTGTGATTCATTTTTTGCTCTCATCAGCTAAGTCATCTAGGCTTTGTGAACAACAGGAAGTGTATATTTCCTAACACTATTGCATCGCTCTGTATACAGTGCAGTCATGTGGGTTGTCAAGCTAAAAATTCTCTAGTGTTTTGAAGACTCTCTTAAAACTTTGGTAATGACACAGCACATGTTCAGGCAGAATTTTCACTTCACTTTAAACCTTTCTGTATCATTATGACTGGTGTTTGGGAGTGGCCAATCAGTTTTGTTCCGGCTATAGGCCTTTTGATTGTACTGTCGCGAAGGGCTGCACAACTCTTCTGATAAATTTTATTAAATGGTCTGCCCTGGAAGGTGAGGTACGCAGAGCCCTTGCATTGTATCCAGTTAACCTGACACGTTACACAACGTTTGCAGGCATGGGATGCTATCCAAGAGCACAGGCTGGTATACAATATTCATGGCAGGCAATACACAAACCTCGTGTAATTGAGATTATGCATGTAAACGAACAAACAACCCTTTTGGACAATAAGGCTTTTAAATTGGATAATAATAATATTGGGGTCAGGAAAGTCACCTCTAGCAGGCAAGGACTTACTCGGGAGGAGGCTTGGTGAGTATACCCACCCAGTGAGACTAAGGTATATAATGAATTGTTCATAAAAAGATGGATTCTCAGAACAGTATACAGTTTGATAATACAGCAGCTGATTTCCTGGAACACTGGGCAATTCTTCCACATGGGAATTTCTGCACTATGACAGGGTTAAGCATACGTGGAGGATCTCTTTCATTATGGAAATAATGGATAGTTTGGAGCATTAGTTGGAAGTCTGAATGGAAGATGCAACATGCACAGTTCTGGATCTTGACTAAATGCCACTGACACATGCATCCTCCTCCACACTGCAGGAATAAGCAGGATTTCCCTGTGGGAGGCTAACTTCTGTGAGTTGCAGCCTAGTAGTTTGAACGATGGTGCTGTGCCTTATCTTAGTGTGCTTAAGGGAGCTTTGTGTGAACCTGATCCATGCCACTGAAATTAATGTGGATGTCCCAAACACACTATCGATAGTCTTTGAAGTGAGAAATGCCCATCCATTCTACTGCTAGCTGGGAAACTGGTGTGTATATATTCTTCGGATCCTGGGCAAAAATACAAAGGCAGAGAAGATTATATCAAAATTAAGCTGCACATTTTAAAGTAATGGTTTCATTTGCTCGAGTGCCTGTCAATGCTTTGGGCTGCTTCAGTTGTAATATCAAACCATTTGTTCATGAATGAAATTTGATTGCCTTCCACCATTCGTGCTCTTGCTAACTTCTAGTTTTGTAGCAAGCCTCAACATGTCATTATGTGTATGTATATATATATATATATATACTGGGAAAACGTGAGTTGTCTCTAACTTTAGTCCTCCTCAAAGTAGATCCCTTGACATTAAAGGGCAGGCCTAACTTAGACATATCAATTTCAGTGGTCTTCTCTGACAAAATGTAGTTGCATAGATCCACAGCCTTCCAACCCTGTTTTGCCGCATTCGGATGTTACAATCTGCCTCTCAGTTGGAAATTGGGACATGGGGGGGGGGATTGTGATCCGGTGACTCCTTTGTGTTCCATCAAACAACCAGGTCTCAAACAAACAATTAAGCAGTTTGCTGTCTTAATATGCATAGGAAGGACTTGTCTGTCTGTCTGTCATTTTACTAAACAAAAATTTCTGTGTCACTTCCTGAAAACAGTTTTGGTGAAAATCTGAGGACCAAGCAATGAAATACAAAGTCATTTCAGACTATGCCACAGAGGTGAACCCTAACAATGTTTGAGCCAATGGGTCCTTTGAATTATGCTGTCTGAATTCTTTTGAGAAGATCTTCTGAGACATAGGAGTATAAAGCTCCCGTATTAGTGCTGTTGTAGATATCCTTTTAAAATTCATTCTTTCCGCCTATAAGCGCTCATTCTGCTGCTGTGAAAGCTGTACATGCCAGGTTTACAGTTGTTTAATATAACCTAGAAGTACTAAGATGATGGCTAATAATTTTCTGTAAGTAATATAGTGTGGCATTTAGCAACGAAGAGGCTGAAGTTCATTAAGGCTTTAAATAAACTATTATATGACTGGTTCTTAAAGCACAGCTACCTATTTAATAGCAGGCTTAAAAGCATTTCTTAAGTTGGAGACCTATAAGATTACAAATGTCACTCATGTTAGCATAATCCACATGCAAGTGATGAAGCCTTTGCTTTGATGTGCTAAATTGGAGGAGGACTGATGGAGCTATGAATATACAATGGAACATATTTAACTAGTATTCTTGCCTGGGGTAAAGCACTCTCGAAACTGGAGGCATATCAAACAATAAAAACAGGTTCTAATGGTGGAAAGCTGTGTGTGAGTTTGTGTGTTGGGATATTTGCTCTTATGTGAGCAAATGTTTTGGGTGTCTCCTCCCCCTTAAAATGCAATGGAGATTAACCATACTTGATCATACTTGCCCTTCTTTCCCTGCACTTGTTACAGTCGATTTCTAGAATCCATGCTATGTACTGTATATGTATCTGTAAAGATGTAGGTCTACTTTGTCATTCGCCAGAAATTCTAGTTATGAAATCTACCCATCCTAGCAGGCACATGGGCACAGCTTCCAAACCAAATTCTGTTTGCCATAAAATATACTGTCTTTCTGGTCGTAGTTTTATTTGGCCTGGTTATGTAGTATCAGAAGCTACACCCACCCACCCTATAAACATTGCACTATTTAGAAGACCACCGCCTTCCCACATCTCCCCCTCCCTCAATCTGCATTTTTTCCTGCCAGGATACTCCCAAAAAGTAGAGAGTATGAGAAAACCCAGACTGAGAGAGGAGAAAGTGTGGGAAGGCAGTGATTTAGAGGACAACAGAAAACTAATGGAGCTACAGAAGTTTACTATCCACGTTAAATGACTCTATGGATGAGCTACCAACCTATGTTACTTAGTATTCAGGTTTTTCTTTAAAAAGTGGAAAAAACAAACCTGCTACTAAATGAGATTGTATTTATTGGTCATCTAGGTTAATTGAAAATCTCAAAAGTTTGCAGCATGCTGGTACTGAATGTGCAGTCCTGGAAAGGCATTTCAGTGATGAGAAGTGAGATTGTGGCATGTATAGCTCCTTTTATGCTAAATGCTTTTGGTGTGGTGCTACCTTGGCATTGTAGCTTGCTCTCCTCCGCCGTGACATACTGTGCAGAACATAAAGTTCTGGATTTCCATTGTCGTCCTCCTCTTTCAGGTGCATGCCTGCTTTGTTAGCCCTGCTAAGCCGCAATAAAATTTATTACAGTTAAGTGGCAATTTGTTGCCATGAAACTGCAATTAAAGTATTACCGGGCAGCCATTTTAGATTAACACACATTTGGAGCATAGGCAAGCGCTGAACGGGCTCTTGTTATCTTTACCAGATCGGAGCTCTCCGCATAACAGTAAAACTGTGACACGTTCACCTATGTCTTTTGTCAAGTTGAAGAATTTGAGCTCTCGGTGGGAGCACAATGATCTCATCGCAAGCATACTAAGAGCAAAGACAAGTCAGGGCTGATTTCTGCACGTTCAACCTGCAGTGTATAAAGTTATTGCCATGTTTGGGCGATGGAGGTGGGGGTTTGTGGGAAAGGGGGGGGGGGAGAGATGGCATTGCTTTGCTGAAATTTCGCAGGGATGGGGATGCATTCGAGAGAGCGTGCTTTTGACTTCAGACTGACTGTTAAAACGGACTGCACGCTGTGGACTCTGATGCCAGTAATGCGAAGCGGGTTCTGACTTGTTAGAGTTTTAAAGGCGGGCGTCTTTTTTCTCCTTTTAACTGCAATTAAACGAAAGGCTAGAACAGAACCGATCTGAAGGGATTGTTTCCGAGATGGCCACTCATATGCAATGAAAACTTGCAAGGCTTTCCTTACAATTTAAGAACCTCTTGATCTTCTTCTTCTTCTTCTTCTTCTTCTTTTTGCATGCTTCGGCCTGATCTATTAAAACAAACAAAAATCTTGGGCACTCCTTGATCCTAAGCACACACTGGCGAGAGATGTAAGTTCCATGGACGCGAAATGCTTCGAAATAGGCAGTTAAGATTGCACCACCACGTAGAACGAGGGTGTGAATTTGCTTAACTCTTTTTTGGGGGGTGGGGAAAGGAGGTAGTGAGGATTGGCCTTCCATTCTGCCACTTCCTTCCATGATAGATTCCCTTAGGTATTTTTACTTTTAGTAAAAATATTGGCCGAATCCAGCATAGACATTATTCTTCCGAAGCCCATTTACCTCAGTCAGCTTAAGAGTACTGTCACCCCATATCTCCCGATAAAACCTTACTTGACTGTGAAACAGTATGAATGAAAATCCCCGGAACAAACCCAAAATATGCTTTGAACAGTGAAGCATTTATTTTATTTGTTTGTATGTTTACATCCCACATTTCTCAAGCCGTGTAGTGTGCCTGCATTTTTCTATCTCTGTTTTATCCTCTTAACAACCCTGTGAGGTAGACTGAGAGTGAGTATCACTTGGCTCTGTCTCTGTATGGTGTGTGATGCTGCCCTCTCGGCTTTCTGCCCTCTCAAACTTTCTGCAGCTAAAACTTTGCCCTCAAATTCTTCCCGAGAAACGAACGATTTGTGCTTGTCTCGCTAGCTTGCCTCAACACTGCACATATGATAGGTTCGGGAATGAATGCAGTTTGGACTGGATTTTACCTGTTAATGGGCCACAATTGTCTGTGTGGCACCCTTCTGCCCACAGCTGAATGGGCAGATGCAGCAACACAGAAAATGCGCAAAGAATCCTGTCCCCCGCAAAACAAAAAACCCCCACTCCATTCCTTCTACTTAGTGCAAGACATAACATGAATTTGTGGACCTGTCGAGAAAGAGGTATGTTTCCTCAGACTCTTTATTCCCTTTCGTGCATGCATGGACACACTCTCTTTCTCTCAAGCTTTGAGGGCAAAGATATGTGAACAACCTCCGATGGCATCTAGGATTGCTTTAATGCATCGAGTAATTTGGGTCATGCAGGTTGTCTTTATAATTAAGGTTATCATTTTGCTGTGCAAAATTTTAATGAATTTCAGGGCACCGGCTTAGTAAAAAGAGTCGCAGAAGGGTGACCAAATATTTATAGAATAAATAGAAGCATCAAAGGAGCAAAAATATTATGTCTTTACCACAGTGGTTTAATTGGGCTGATTGAACATAGGGAATTATTAAATGAGCGCCTCTGTTAACTTAATGAATGTACAGCGAAGGAAACTCAAAGCCCCTGCTAGAAACTAGAATATGGGTGTAGAAATCTGTGGCTGTTCAGATGCTGATAAACTCCCGTCATCTCTGCTCATTGGCCATTCTAGCTGGAGCTGATGAGACTTCGAATCTTAACATCTGCATAGCCCCATATTTCCTCTCCTTGGACATGTGTCTTGCTGTTCCATACACTAACTGTTTCTCAAGCTAACCTACGTCATAGTTTTGATATGAGGTTAAACATGGGTTTTAGTGGCAAATGTATGCTGCTATGAGTTGCTTAGAATGTGAAAAGCAAACAGGCAATATTTAAGCTGCCATCCTAAACTAGGTAAGGACAGAGTGTGGTACTGTGTTCTTGCATGAATTTCTTAGCTTTTGTTCTGAGTGGAGTGATGGAACATAGATTAGTATTATCTTCTTTCTAAGCTGGGCTTCGCCTTGTAACTACTACAGACAGGAGTTGCTAACACTGGCAATGTGCTGCTATTATTATATAATAATAATAGGTAGGTTCAGAGCATCTTTATAGGCTTGAATCCCAAGTTTGCATAAGAAGAACTCCATCAGTGGAATACTTTCACTGGTAACGGCATGGAGAGGCGAAGCTCCCTTCTCCTCCGCCCTTGTGGTTCTCTATGCCCCCAGTAAATCTGTTCTGGAAGATTGGAGAATAACATGGGAGGTGGTGTTGGGGGAATCGGTGAAAATTTCCTCTCTTCATACGCTCCAACATTTATCCAATGAAAGTAGGGACGTCCTATTCCATAATGATAATTTTACTATTTATAACCCACACATCTTATTAGGTTGCCCCAACTCTGGGCAGCTTCCAACATATATAAAAACATAATGAAACATTAAACATGAAAAACCTTCCCTATGCAGGGTTGCCTTCAGATGTCTTCTAAAGGCTGTATAATTACTTATCTCCTTGGTTCAGGTGTTGCATAATTCCATACCCTCCAACATTTCCCCAATGAATATAGGGACATCCTAAGGAAAAGTGGGACATTCTGGGATCAAATCAGAAACCGGGACAGCTTCTCTAAATCAGGGACGTCCCTCGAAAATAGGGACACTTGGAGGGTCTGTTTCTTCCCTTTTGCCAGTGGGAGCCTCTGCTGGACTGGAGTCCCCCAATGAACAGAATAGCTATTTGGGCACCAAGCTAATATGTTTCAAAAGTGGCCTTCAGGCAGCTTAGCACCTGCACTTAGCACCTGCAGGGAAACTGGGTCATTTGCCATTCACTCATGCTCCCTCCTGCACACTGACCTTGTGATGTGTGGGTATGTGCGTTTGTGTGACAGAGAGGCAATAAGCCACGCCGTCTCTGAATCAAGGTAGAAAATGCAAGCCCAGTGCTGGCAATGGCTGGGTTCCAAAGAACCACGTGCACAGCTGGTTCCCATTGTCGTCAATGGAATGCAAAGAGCAAGCTGTTCCGTAGCTGACAACTGGGAAAAGCCATGTCTGAGCTTTTGGTATTCAATTGCTGCATTGTGGCCAATATCGTTCTATGCATAAAGTCTGGATTTCACCCAAGGAATTAAGGGAGGGGAGCTTTCTTGCTGTAAATGTAGAAAGAACGCAAAACCTGCACAGCAGCAAATACTCCAAGCAGGTACTGGGCCATCGATCATACTTGAATATGGAACTGTCCAATTCTGTGATTACATAAACAAGTGTGGTGCTTTATTACAGAATACCAAAAGACTTTGGGTTATTGTAACACGGCTCCCTCTGAGTTGCTTTCTGATCTTCCAACTACAGCCTTTCTGAATGAGGCATAGGTAATGAGGCATTTGTGGAAGTGTACAGGACACCCTTCAGAATTATAATTCTGGCTTCATCCCTAAAAGGCTCTTTTGAAGACTTGGGAAGAAGAAGAAAATCCTTGCAGATGGACTCCTGTTCATATTTGTTGCTTTAAGGAGAGCGTTCGCAGGGGTGTTTAAATGAAATAGATCATACCTTTAATTACATCAAAGCTGAGCTGACTCTGCCCCCCAATTTTCAGTTTAATTGCTGTGGCTCAAAAAGGTGTTGAAAATCGGTAGCGGAGTTACTGAAACCTACTTGGTGGTGGCTTTAAAAGGAGGGCAGAATGTTACTCCTTCAGATATCACCTTTTCTCTCTATTAAAATGTTATTTAGGTTGTGCACCAGGCTGCATCTCTTGGGATTCTTGGGAGCTCTCTGTGCAGGGAGTAGAAGAGTAGAATGACAAGAGGAGAAGGGAATGAGATGGGCTCTTTTGAGACCTGCACTTTGGTGTGTGTGTGTGTGTGTGTGTGTGTGTGTGTATTAAATGCACAAGGGAGCTTGAGAGTAGTAGAGCCTCAGGTGAGGTTAGTGCCTGTCTTCTAGTAATTTTCTGTCCACTACACCCAGCACTGAAACAATGAGTGTGCCTTCTATAAGGCTAGCAGAAGGAAACTCTCCATGACAATCTGGCTTGGAAGACTGCATTGCTGGTCCAATTTTTCTTGCAGTGGCAGTCATTCTGCACAGCTGCAACTTCTGGAGCATATTCAAGGGTAACCCTGCATAGAGAGCATTGCAGTCATCTAACTGAGAGGTGACTAAAGATTGAGGGGTCACTAGCTAAGCTTTTCTTGGTCCAGAAACGGCCATAGCTGGCAAACCAACCAGAGATAGTGCTCCTGAAGCCATTAGCAGTGGTGGACGTTGGGCTCTCAAAATCTGCCTCTTGTAGCATTATTGTGGAGGCCCCTGCAGCATGGTGCCCACTTCTGCTGTACCAGATGTTCCACCCTAATGCCACCTCTGCCACCAGGCTTCTAGAGATAATGACGTCTCCAGTAGCATCCCCCAAAGCTATGAACCTGCTTCTTCGGGGGGAGTGCAACACCACCCAGAACAGGCTGCCTACCAAACTCCTGGCTCCACAAACTGTACTTTGATCTTATCAGGATTCACCTTCAGTTTATTGGCCCTAATGCAGCTCATTGTTGCTTCCAGGTATCTATCCAGCACCTAAATGGCTTCTCCTGATTCAGATGGAATGGGAATGGAGTCGCATGCTATCTGCATACTAATGGCATCATACTCTATATGTCTAGGTGATGGCTTCCAATAGCTTCATATGGATGTTAAAGAGCATCGGGGACAAGACAGTATCTTGTAGAACCCAACAGCATAAGTGTCAACAGGTAAAGCAGGAGTCTCCATCTGCTAGTCTCTGGGATCAGTTCTTTGCAGAACTATTGTAATACAGTGCCTCTAACTCCCAAGCCATAAAAAACCAATGCAGGAGAATACCATGGTCAATGGTACTGAAAGATATTGAGAAATGAAGGAGAACCAATATAGTGTTATATATTGGAGTGCCCCATGCCCATCTCCAAATAGGAGTAATCAGTCAGGGTGACCAAGGCCATTTTGGTGCCAAATCTGAGCCTAAAGCCAGATTGCAATCTGATTATTCTGTTGGGCAAGCTGAAATGGCAGAGTGCGGCACTGAATTCCTCCCACAATTCTAACATCATGAACCTGTTAGGCCAACTGTCAAGAGCATTATGCCTTAATCCAAACTATGTTAGTTGCATTCCCGTTGATTTCAATGGAAACTTAAATCACAATGAAGTTCAGTCATTGATTTCAATAGGATCCAAGGTCAACCACCAATGGGCTATAATCTGAACCTCTGGCCAGCAATGGTAGGACTTGATGGAACCGTTTCAGGGGTACCCAGAATAAAAGTAGGGGCATCAGGATGCTGGAAGGAAAGATCAGTGCTGTAGAGTAGATGAGAGCTTCTTGCTGTGCAACATGTACTAAATTTGGTACTGCTTGGAGCATCTATTGGCCCAGTGGTCTGTCTGATGGCACCCGATATTTTTGAGTGCCTCAGTCCAGGGAATGCTCGAGTGGAAGAATATTAGGCTGGCCATGTAAAAAAGAGGAAATGTCTCACCAAGATAACAAAAGAGGGTATGGATTTGCATATGCTAATTTATACACATAGATGTTAATTTGGAGATAGCTTTAAAATAGTATAATGTAAACGGAAATACACTACCTTTCACTGTAGTGGAGCAGAGTCTGCTGTCTAGATACTAATTATGGATGGGCAACTTCAAGGCCGCTCTTGCTTCCCTTCCTTAAGGTTTGTTCTCCTTGAATTGGCTGGATAGCTCAGCTGGTTAGAGCAAGGTGCTGATGATGCCTAGGTTGCAGGTTCAATCCCATATGGGACAACTGCATATTCCTGCTTTGCAGCGGATTGGACTAGATGATCCTCAGGGTCCCTTCCAAGTCTACAATCCTATGATTCTATGACTGGACAGCTCTTCAAACAGAGAAATATCCTCTGTCCAAAAGGGCACATGGTCACCTTGATGAGTGGGCAGGAGAAACACACAGACTGGGGTCTGTGTGTGTGTGTGTGTGTTTAAAGCCAATTGTAGGAACAGAAAGCAAAGAAAAAGGTAGCACACACAGTTTAGAGGTGTGTATTGTTCCTTTGGCCCTATTTCCACCAAGCACCTCTCGATCCAGGCTGTGCTTGATCTCAGATTCTCCTCCTTGCCGAGTAGAATAATTAAAGCAAACACAATCCATCACTTCTTTGACTAAATATATTTTCATTTGGTTTGCACGTGAATGTGTATATATCACTCAGCGCATATATATTTAGAATATGTGATACGACATTATGGCAACCGATAAATCCTGCATGCTTACTATATCTGCATTATTTGCTGCAACATTAAGCTCAGTAAGAATTTTTATATGTATCTTGTTCCAGAGCGAAATATATTGAAGAATTGATGCTCGGTTATAAACAAACACATAACTTTCCTGCACAACGTAGTGAAGGTGGCAGCTTGTAGCTTGTGTGGAGATGATTTTTTGTAAACAATTGTAAGCTTTCACGGGGGGTAAATAATTTCTAATGTTGTTTTTTTAAAAGGATCCCTTTTAGAATGATAAGGAGTGTGAACTGAATGAATGGATCTCTCTCTCTCTCTCTCTCTCTTCCCCTCTCATCCTAAGCTGCGATCACACAGCCTCTTACTTGGGAGAACTTGCTTCTAAGTAAACATGCCTAAGATCAGGCTGTTAATGGTTTAATAGCATATATATATATATATCCACACACACACACACACACACACACACACACACACACACACACACCTTGCGCTGTGAATTCAGAGGAAAGGCATCCCAGCTTCATTCCATTTAAGTGGCTTTTGTGGATTATCTTATTTCATTACTTTCAATAAAGCCATGCCTAGGCTGCTAGTTCAGTATGCTGATGTGGTTCATAGCAGAAGCTCAAGATGTGCTCTTAAATACTCTAAGCTTATGCAAGGCCTTGACATTAGTAGGTTTTAGACATCAGCAGAGTTGGCAGTTCTGAAGAACTGATATGATACCGACGCTTTACAGGTAAAAGCGAGCAGATCCGGTGTGAAATTGAGATAGCAGGACCAAGACTGGTATACAACTTTTTTTCTTTTTTATTGATGAAGTTTGGGGAAAAGATATTTTAGGCCAGATGTATTAATCCTGTAATGACTTGAAATATAATCAGTCAGCTACTGCAGGGGGATATGAAGAGGGAGGTGGGGAGGTACAGATTTCAGGTTTTGACTGTTCAAGCTTTCCCAGTTCATTAAAAAGTGAATCAATCAGGCAGGCATACACAGACTTGATATCCAAAGGGCTGGAAATTCTAAATAGGATTCAGACATTATTTAAAAGTTGCAGATGGTCCTTTTTCCACGGCGAGGGTGGTACAACTCGACAACCGTCGATTCCTCCGGGTGATTGTTTTTCACCTTTTTAGAGCTAGTAAAATGTGTTATAAATATGAAAGGAGAGAGAGATTTGGCTGGATATGGAGAATTTAAAAGCTTTGCTGTGGGCCATCGAAAGGTGCTATGTAATATATGTCTAAACAAAATGCACAGCCACAAAAGTTTTGTTTTATGTTTTCTAGAATGTAGATTTTAATTTTTTTTTCCAGCAGGCAGAAAGGCAGAAGGCTCTTGCCTACAGGACCTCGTTCCCCCCCATCATCTCTCTCCTCCCTTTTTGCAGGCAGCTGGCAATGGTAATTAACTCATTACTATTAATTTTTGCCAACTCTTGTTGGAGAAGCGATGTTATTTTTCAACTTTATTTACAAAATGGAAATCTCCCGTATTGGGGCTTGGCAAGTTCCGCGCGCCTCTCGCGAAAGGAATGCATGAAAAGGGGCAGAAACCCAGGCCCCCAAAAAAAACAATTCTTGCACAGTGACATGATTGGCGAGGGACAGGTGGCGGTGACTGCACCCTCCAGTCCGTAGTGGGACTGCTGGAGAAGAGGGGTGGCTCTAGACCTCAAAGGGCAAAGGCATACAAGGAACATAGCAGGGATTCGGTATCTCCCACTGTCCTATCTACTTTGGTCCTTACCTGTGACAACGTTAACCCTGCACCAGCCCTTCCATCATGATGATGGTGGCTGAGAGTTCCTTCTTGCATTGGTCTGCATTGGAGATCCTGTAACTGAACTACACATTGCAATGCAATTCGTCAACATGATAGAGGCCCCATGGCTCTGCCATGCATCCATGGTAAAGGCAACCTGTAGCTTTGTACCTGAGTAGGTGCAAATTAAATCCAATGGCGTCATACTCGGAGCCGGCTAACCGAAATCAGATTGCTGTTTTCATAGTATTGTTAGAATTCATAGTATTATTTGCATTATTTTATTTATTTAGGTTTGGGCTCTGCCCTGATCATGTGTACTCTGATTAATAAACTGTTAAATAATAATAATAATAATAATAATAATAATAATAATAATAATTTATACCCCGCCCATCTGGCTGGGTTTCCCCAGCCACTCTGGGCGGCTTCCAACAAATATTAAAAATACAATAAAGCATCAAACATGAAAGATTTCCCAATACAGGGCTGCCTTCAGATGTCTTCTAAAAGTCAGACAGTTGTTTATTTACTGCAGAGAAGGCCCTCTGCCAATATAAAAATAAAAGCCAATATAAAAATATAAGCTAAAAAATAAATAAATCAAAAATTAGATCAGTCTGACCCAGCCTGTTAATAGGGAGGCCAGTTCATAGCCACCAGAATACACTTGCTTCTGAAAAACACAAGTTAAAAATATATATTGCTAAACTTAAAAAAAGAAAACAAAACTTATGTAAGAATACCAAATGTTGACCTAGAGTAAAATATTGCATGTGGAAGAAACCTAGCCTTATGTGCTGGTGAAATGCAAGTGGAAGGAATTTCCAGAGTTGTGGAATAACCAGTGAGGTTGCATCTCTATGTGCTCTGGATGTGGCATGTATGATAGGCTGCTCTTAACTGATTTTAGAAATCCACAATGGGCAGGGGGGAGAGGTGTTCTGTACAGTAAGGTTTGTATTGTCTAGGATTAAATATGGCGGCTGCTCAACAGGAAAAGAAACTGCTTCGGAGATTCATGGAATAAAATGAATGGAAGAGGCTCCATCTAGCCATAATGGCACATGAGCTCTCTGAACATGTAACACCCCCCCCCCCGACAGGTGAGCCCATGCCATGCAGATCATAAAGTGCCATATTGTGGATTGTGGAGTGCTTTCCCTAGAAAGGCTTGCCTGGTGCCATCATTACTGGGCAAAAACATTCCTCTTTATGTCTATTAAATAATCGATGGCCTGTGAAAGTGTGGGGGAATAAAATAGGATGACTATTTTATTATTAGGCTATCTGTCAGTATGCTTCTAGGGACGCAGGTGGCTCTGTGGTTTAGGTTTAGGACTTGCCGATCAGAAGGTCAGTGGTTCAAATCCCTGGGACGGGGTGAGCTCCCGTTGCTCGGTCCCTGCTCCTACCAACCTAGCAGTTCAAAAGCACTTCGAAGTGCAAGTAAATAGGTACCACCCTGGCAGGAAGGTAAATGGCATTTCCGTGCACTGCTCTGGTTTCGCCAGAAGTGGCTTAGTCATGCTGGCCACATGTCCCGGAAGCTGTACACCTGCTCCCTCCGCCAGTAAAGCGAGATGAGCGCCGCAACCCCAGAGTCGTCCGTGCCTGGACCTTACAGTCAGGGGTACCTTTACCAGTATGCTTCTTATTGTGTTTTTATCACTGATGTTCTGTAATGTGTTTTTAATGTTGTACACTGCCCTGGGATCTTCCGATAATGGGCGGTGTGTAAATTGTATAAATAATAAAAATAACAAACAAACACAGAAAAAGAGTGAGTGAAGTGGTACCTATAGGACAAAATAATGCATTAATAATGGGGTGGGGGGAGAGAGAGAGAGAATGTCCATGGTTCTCAGGCAAAACAATGCTAGCAGTTTCCAGCCCACGCCTGGCTAAGACGACTGAAACATTTCAAGACCTCTCGTCCGCCTAGGCTGCTCTGCTATTGTCTGTGCAAGAACTCTGGCTAAGGGATGGTGGCCCATACCTAGAGTGGACGCAGGCTGGACAACTTCAGCCTAAAATCTCAGATGCTTTGTGATTTCGATGAAACGAGACAGTACTTTAGCTGGGAAATAACATCCCTTTCAGGACTGCCTTTCGACAATGAAAATCTAAATATTCATCAGCCACATTTAAGTGCTGATAAGGTGCTTCACAGAATAGCTCTGTGTTCACTCTGAGCCCGAATCGGCCTCCTTTATTCATGCTAAGTACCTCCTTACCATGGGAGTTCAACAGGGGCTTTCTTGCAGAGTAATGTGCTCCTCGTGGACTGCAAGTGTGCTCTCGTCTGCTCTGATGTGCTTGCTTAAGCCACCCGTACATTTTAAGAGGAACTTTTATTCCCCGAGACAGACGGAATCGCAGCATTATCTTTTCACATTTTCCTTTTCATTGTCTTAAAGACAAATCTTGGGCTAGGATACGCTTTAATCCCCCTTGACCTGCTTTGCTGTATGTTATTTTGGACTAATGAAAGCCTATTTTGAATATACTTATCTGGGCGGGTGAACTTTATGACGAGAGATCAGAGTAATCTACACAAAGGGTACATTAAACTTCTTGCAGAGGCCCTATTTAAATCCACCACAGAGAGAAGCTAAAGCTGAAATTGTATCAGGTTTCATGCTGCTCCTTTCCCTACGTATTACAATGATTTCTCAGCAACAGCATATGAGTTACTGCATCTATGCAGAAAACACAGTAAAGATGTCAAGCCCTACATGCTGAGATTTTATAAAATGTTTCTCGTGATTTCAGCAAGATGTTCAAATTATTGCTCTCTCAGTTTAAGCCCCCACATTAAGGACTGCTTAGGATTGTAACGGAGGCTGCAGCCCTAAACATGGAAGATGCTGTCTTAGACACCGAGTCAGGTTAACAGTCCAACACAACATTGTCTTTGCTGATTGGAAACAGCTCTCCAAAGACTCTAAGAGTCTTTCCCTCCCTGGAGATGCCAGGGGCCATTGAACCTGGGGCCATTTGAATGCAAAGCATCTGCTGTGCCACAAACTCTTAGCTTACGCTTACCTGGCAGTAAGTCCCATTAAAGTCAATGCAACCTATTCCTGTGCTGGCATATCTAAGACTGAAAGTCTGAAACTGGGTAGACTGCCTAGATTAGGAATGGCACAACCTGTGGTCCTACAGATGTTGGTCTACAACTCCCAGCATGGACAACTGTCAGGAATGATGGAATTTCTAGTCCAATAACATCAGGAGGGCCATAGGTTTCCCATATGAGCCAACCTAGGCTCTTGGGGAAAGAAGAACTGGATAGAATTAGTAAGTAAGGGACGCGGGTGGCGCTGTGGGTTAAACCACAGAGCCTAGGACTTGCTGATCAGAAGGTCGGCGGTTTGAATCCCGACGGGGTGAGCTCCCATTGCTCAGTCCCTGCTCCTGCCAACCTAGCAGTTCAAAAGCACGTCAAAGTGCAAGTAGATAAATACTAGGTACCGCTCCTGCGGGAAGGTAAACGGTGTTTCCGTGTGCTGCTCTGGTTTGCCAGAAGCGGCTTAGTCATGCTGGCCACATGACCCGGAAGCTGTACGCTGGCTCCCTTGGCCAATAAAGCGAGATGAGCGCCACAACCCCAGAGTCGGTCACGACTGGACCTAATGGTCAAGGGTCCCTTTACCTTTACCTTTTTAAAGAGACTTGGAAATTTATTTTTGTGTCCCAAGTCATTCTAAATTAGATGGGAGGAAGTAATCATGAAATGCCAAATTACTATGATTTGATTATGCTCGCCAGATAATGGGGAAATTTGGAATCGAAGAATTGTAGAGTCCAATCCAATTCAAATAACTTTATTGTACTAACCATTGGCCAGTAGTGTTGGAAGGGAACCCGAGGAACATCTAGTCCAACCCCTTGCAATGCAGAAATATGCAGCTGTCCCATGCAGGGATCGAACTTGCAATCTTGATATTATCAGCACCACGGTCTAACCAACTGAGCTATCCTGGCTGACAGTAAAACTGCAACAAACTACCAGCACAATCGCACCATTGACGGTCATGGAATTATTTGGCACATTTCCGTCAAGTAGTAATTTGATAATCTAGGTGGTTTTGATTCAGCTACATGTAACCATGACATGTAATCTCAGTAACTTCATGAAACAATCAGCTTGCTTCAGTTACGGATGCATATGACAACACATGCATAACTGTGCAGGAATCCTGGAAGCGAGCATAGTGCTCAGCTATTCTTAGAAAAAAGGCCAATCTGTGGACTAGGAAATCATAGACCAAAGCTCTCGACTTGACCTCTGATTGCCCTGCAGACTCCAAAAACAAATCTCCCTGCTATAAGTAGCAGGTATGAATCATAGATTTTCCAGCAACATCCTATTTGTCTCGTTTCCTTGTTTTTCTAGGCCTGTTAAAACAATCCATCAGGTATAATGAATGTGTGGAGGAAGAAGGAGTGGGATCATGATGGTGCTGTTTTTGGCCTTCACACAGTCAGACGAAGGTCTGTACAAAGCCTACTCATGTACACCTTGGGCTGATTCTCTTTGTTCAATCATTTTGTCTCTGAGTTTCCTGCTACTTAGCTCCACTACTTCTTAGGGCCCCAAGTGACTCAATTTCCCAGACTTTGCTAACTCAGTTTTCTAGTTCTCAGTCTGCCCCAACTTCTCCTATCCTCGGAGCCTGTGTGAGATTTTTTTCCTGATAGATAAACCGGCCTCCCACATCCATTACAGAGCATTCTATGTAGTCAGTTGCATTTTCCGAGGCATTGAAATTTCATGAGTATTCCAAGACATCAAATCAGCTCAACCAATCGGTGCCAGAGGCTTCATCATCTCTGCCATCTCTACAAAATCCCTTAGCACAGTAGAATAAACGTAAAGGGACCCCTGACCATTAGGTCCAGTCGTGGCCGACTCTGGGGTTGTGGCGCTCGTCTCGCTTTATTGGCTGAGGGAGCCGGTGTACAGCTTCCGGGTCATGTGGCCAGCATGACTAAGCCGCTTCTGGCGAACGAGAGCAGCGCACGGAAACGCCGTTTACCTTCCTGACGGAGCGGTACCTATTTATCTACTTGCACTTCAACGTGCTTTCGAACTGCTAGGTTGGCAGGAGCAGGGACCGAGCAACAGGAGCTCACCCCATCACAGGGATTCGAACTGCCAACCTTCTGATCGGCAAGCCCTAGGCTCTGTGGCTTAACCCACAGCGCCACCCGCGTCCCTAGCACAGTAGAATAGATGGCTCCATTTACACATATCAACACACAGATTACATGTAGCTGGAATGATGTGTGGGGTAGGTCAGACCGAAGTCCCTAAGATGCCTCCCCAAGCCAGCCATGTTTATTCTAATATACTGGTTGCCAACTGTTAACTTATTATTTCAAAAGTAGAAACCTCTTAAATAGGACCACAACCCAATTAATGAAAATCCAAAATAATTAGTCCTGTAAGATTTACTTGATAAACAGATACATTTATGTATATATATTTATTTATTTAAGTTATAAACCATGTAATATCACACATCAAAGTGGTGAATAATAGAATTGCCGCATTAGAAGGGACCACAAGGGATATCTAGTCTAAGTCCCTGCAATGCATGAATCTTTTGCCCAATGTGGGGCTCAAACTCACGACCAAGAAATTAAGAGTCTCCTGCTCTACCGACTGAGCTATCTTGGCATGACAGTATTTAAAAATATATCAGAGATTCATTTTTTAAAAAAATATACATTTTTATACATTTTATTTATTTATGTATAAATCAAAATTGAATAAGTGTTTGAAATGCAAAGAGAAAGAAGGTACTTTATATCATATGTGGTGGTCTCGCAGTAAGGTTAAAGCTTAACTGGGAAACGATATATAATGAATCGGAAAAGATGTTTAAAATCACATGTGTAAAAAACCCCCAGAAGCTTTGCTTCTGGGAATTACAGGGGTGTTGTTGTTTAGTCGTTTAGTCGTGTTCGACTCTTTGTGACCCCATGGACCAGAGCATGCCAGGCACTCCTGTCTTCCACTGCCTCCCGCAATTTGGTCAAACTCATGCTGGTAGATTTGAGAACACTGTCCAACCATCTCGTCCTCTGTCGTCCCCTTCTCCTTGTGCCCTCCATCATTACTGGGGTAGAACTACCTAAACAGTATAGAAGTTTATTCATGTATGCGATTACAGCATCAAGAATATTATTTGCCCCCAAACAGAAACAACAAGAAGTCCCGACGAAAGAAGACTGGATACAAAAACTCATGGATTATGCAGAAATGGCAAAACTTACCGGAAAAATAAGAAATCAAGACAACAAACTATATATATGTATATATATGTATATCTATAGGAATGGAAATGGTTTATTAAATATGTACAAATAAATTGTAACAGATAAGGACATTGCATTGGGAGGATTATTGTAATAACCTGCAGTTTCATAAGAATTAAAATTTTAAAGTAGATGAATAAAAGAATAAGTTAATTTAAATTAGAATATGCAGCAAGTGATAAACATGAATTTAAAGAACCGCAGAAAGAGGAGGAAGGAAGTCAAGTTTTGAAATGTCAAAATAACTGTAAGACTATTGAAATGTATATAACTGAAAATCACAAAAAATAAAATAAAAACAAAAATACACCAGTGGTAGTCTTAAAATCACAAAGCATAATTAAAAACCCTTCATTGTAGATAATATTGGCTGCAAACGATAAAACAGCAAGTTCAATCTGGATGTGAATATTTCTGAAGCCAGAAGTATACTTTCCATTTTTGCTTTTGGTTTATACACATGCGTACCACAGGAAGCATCTTCTCAGAAGAGACATTCTGTCCTGGGTCAGCAACCCTTTTTTCTATGCCTATTGTGGAAATTGTAAATGTCACAGCTGATGTGCTAGCTCCTGCACTCAGGATCAGGTTATTAGAGAGGCCTAAAAACATAGCATTTTTCTCAAAAAGTATATAATTTCAGCCTCTCTTTTATTGTTGGTGCGTGTTATA